CTTTTGAAATACTAAATCTTACTTCTCCTTGAAGCCAGTACACCTTGTGGACACATATGTACTCAGTACACATTCACTAGCTTGTGATGTAAATGTATCTGTGAGAGAACAAATTAAACTTAGTATTCCACAATACAATGGATAGTTAAAGGAAACCATGACATGTGAAAAGAACACTTTTCAATATTCAGTCAAGTACCAAACTAACTTTAGATGAAGTTTGTAGTGCTATTTTGTAACATGGACATGCGTATGAAATTCATTATTTGCAATTATCAGGTTGTCATGGTTACGTGTATGTGTAATTATAAAACATCAACCACCTTGTCCTTGTTTGTTTCATAACAAACATTTAAAGTCTAAAATCGAACAGCAGGATTTCATTATCATTTATACTGTCAAAGATATCTTACCATTTTGGTTGTAAGTTTAGCAGATCTGTAAACCAGGCAAAAAAAAAGGTAAGACCTCATCTGATATTATGTAATATGTAACATGCAGTGATACATGGATTATGCATAAACATAACACAAACAATGATGGAATGGAATAAATTGATATGCAAAACAAACAAAATAATATGGGAAAATGAAAGAGATTCAAGAATAACCATGTATGTAACTGTTTTAAGTGATTTCCATGAATAAAGAGATAACAGAATAAACTTTCTATGGGACAGACCTTTTTTATATTTGGCTTACATACATCAACTTCAAATAGGCAAAAAATATAAACAATGATAAATAAAAATAGTTTACAGTCACTATCAATATACCTATCTAATTCAAATACAATAAAAATATTTTTAAAAGTTATGCTGACACCTTCAAAACACAATGAATAATGACAAATCACACATGTAAATATATTTTCATAAATAAGATATCCATTTCTTCTGTTTAACCTACTGACCTGAACTTTTGGGGCCAAAATTGTGTAATCTAAAAACAAGTGTGGATTAGTTGTATAATGCTACATGATAATGTACACAAATTGGCACAGTGATCCTAATGTAAAACTTCATTTTCATTTGGTCATATTTTGCTCATCCCTTGTTTTTAATTTAATTGACAAAAGAACCCAGAAAAATAACCTTAACTTTATAAGGACCAGAGTCCATAACAATGACTGATAATAAATAAACAATCTTAACAAGTAAACAAAGTCATCAAAGATAATGTGCGTCCAAACAGTTGTTCCATATGCCCATATTTATAATAATAGATTGTACATTGTCAACACAGTGAACTGTTACATCCATCATAAAATGTCATAATTAAGAACATAGAACATGACATAATATAAAACAATAAATTTGCTTCTGGGCATAATGAAGGATGAAAAATAAATAAGTGACTGGGTGCAACTCTTGCTGTATGCAAACTAAAATACACTTTTTTACTTTAAACTGGAAAAATGTCATTGAAGAGAATTAGGAACACATGACTGAGGACAAGTTTATTCCTGTATTGTGTGAGTGAGTTTAGTTTAGTTTTACGCCGCTTTTAGCAATATTCCAGCAATATCACGGCAGGGGACACCAGAAATGGGCTTCACATATTGTACCCATGTGGGGAACCGAACCCAGGTCTTCGGCGTGACGAGCGAAAGCCTTAACCACTAGGTTACCCCACCGCCCCTAATCCTGAATTGAGTTTTTTAGCATCTTCTGTCTAAGTGAAGCCATTAAGTACGTATATATAATGATATCATGCAGCTGTTCAAGGCATATTTGGCTTACAATAAATATACTGTGCAGCTGGAAGAATGCTAATCAAAACCAATCACATGGAATTCATAGGTCAAGGATAGCAAACAATTAAGGATATGAAGCAAGAATTATGTCAACAATATATCTTAAATGGCAATACCATCCTGGTGACACACTGAAATATATGGCATATATAAAATCATGAATGTCCCACTTAAGTCACACCAATATAACTGCTTTTATTTAGCTTGTTAGCATTAAGATTTCCAATTCACTCAGCAAACACGTCCCAAAAATATATAATTAATTGGAAATGCTATTTTTTAAACCATTCTTCTTATAATTTACAGAAATGCTGACATTTTCATTGTGATTGTTCTCTCCTGTTTTCTCCATTTCACCTAAAGTTTAAGAATAGAATATTTCCCCAAACAAATAAACCCTCAAAATCAAATGTGTTTTATAAATGTGATAATGGGAATAATGTAATTATCAATTCATTTATCTTGATAAATGTAAGAAAGCTATATTTCAATTGGTTTTATTTCTTCCTTCGTGTATTTTTGATAAAAGTCTATCATTATGTTCTAAATAAGTGAAAATTGGACCAAGATAACATGATCCTTTCATGGGAAGCATGGACACTGCAGGTGTACATAGGCAGTCTATCACGCAACTACTTTCCATACTATTCTCTACATTGATATATACAGCACCTCATGAAAAGTCCCATACAAACATACACAACACAGCCACTGCCTCACAACACAATCACACCCACCAATATACGCACTGTTGATAAAGTGGGTCGCACTGCATTTCCCCCCAAACACATTGACATCAGTACTACCTGCTGTATGACAGGTATAAGGCATGCTTGTGCAAAGCATTCACATGATTTGAGTCATTCCACTCTCATGTGTGAAACATCTAGACTGGTCCTTATTTGATCAGAGCCTTGTCCCACAAAGTATCTCCAGGCTGTAAATCCCATACTTAAAATTATCGTAGCACTAAAATCACTTTTTGGAACAGGACCCATGTTCCTGGTTGATTTGAATGCTGATATAAAACTGAGGAATTTGAGTCTAGGGGACAGAATAGCCTGAGATGTAAGATATGACCAGATGTTACTGGGAAAGTTTAGACACATATCACAGTACATGGATGTGAGAGGAACTCTGTGCGGTTTCATTAGAGACTTAATAATGTAATATTAATTTGTTCTTGGATCAGATTCAATCTTGCAGTGATGTCATGAATTAAAATAGGGTGGACTAATGTAAACCATTTATTTGCTGGTATTTCAGTGAAGGTTACTGAGAGTGCCAATCCCTCGATCCTGAACACCAAACATCCATCTGCTTTTTCACTCTCATCAAAGAATTACTCATTCCTGAATTCTTCACATATGAGAAAAGGGAGAGATTTGAAGTTTGATTACTTTTGAAATAATGAAGAAATATAATGCATAAAGAAATTATTTATGTACACAATGCTATTTTTCACATTTTGAACCGGCATACATATTACACTCTTAAGTGTACCCCACATACCATACTGATGAGCCGTGAATACCCTCAAATATACCCCAAATCCTGCATACTAAAAGGATCATGTCCGTCTCCTTACTGATCATACTATTTTCTTACATAGTATCACAGAATATACAAACTGATATGTATTTAAAGTCAACTTAACAAATCTAGTGCATAAGAACAGGTCGAGAAATCCAAAAGTTGGAGACAGAAGAAATAAGATATGTGTAAGGAACCTTTAGAATGTTGTTTGAATTCAAATATGTTAGAATCAACTACATCTTTTTGTCCTTTGTGAGTTAATGACTGGGTTCCAAGCTCCATAACCTTGTAATAACTTCACATTGTTTAATTGTTTATTTCAGGTATATTTTCTTGTTTCAGTTGTATTGTCATATTGAAACACATATTACAAATTTGAAAGAGTTCAGTCCATAACAGTACAGCTCGTTAGAATTACACTTTATTTTCGTTACGTAAATATTTTAGTTACGTAATTATTCTGCTCCCATCTTTGGGAATCTTTTTAACTTTAAACCCTTATGTATCAGTTTTCCAACAATATATATATGCCTTGTGTATATATACTGAACAACATTAGAAACGCACCACACTAAAATGCACCGACGATGCTCAGGTATCATGGGTACATTACAGTCTGACGGGGATATTTTGTATCATTGGCGGATCCAGAGAGGGTGGGGTGGGGGGTTTCAGGGGTTCGAACCCCCTTTGAAAATGACTTAAGACCACATTGTAGATTTCTTTTGTGTTGGCGGAACCCCCCCTTTCAAAATTCCTGGATCAGCCCATGCGTATTATATGGGTGGTGCGTTTCTAATGTTGTTCAGTATATTAAAAGTCTTGAGGTATTAGTGAGTGAAAGATTTGCACTGGGACTGACATGTTTTCTCTACCAGTGCCTGTGGTGTATTTTATATATAGATACTAAATACTAAATGCATGATCTCTGCTCTCTCTCTCTTCTCCTCCCAAAGTGATATTCCCTACTTTCACAGCCTGCAGAATAGATATTCACATATTGCTACAGTCTGATTCCAGGCTTTGTACACTGCAATAAAGCACATGTAGAGAGAGATTCTGTGGATGAGCCTAGACTGGCATTAGGAATAATGTTTTGTATATTTTTGGGGACATTTTCAACAGTGTAAGGTAGAAACAGTCACATTTAGAATTCAAAAAGAAATATATTGTCAACATAGATCTTGATTCTATAATAAAACAAAGACGAGGAGGCATAAATTTGTGTTGACCTGAACCAAACTTTTACCAACTTTCTTTAGCTTAAATGTCCATTCTGTGCCTCTATCCTAACTACAAGTATTGTTGTTGGTGCAAGTATTTTGCTGAATCAGGGACATCTGCAAGCTTGTAAAGCCTTGGAGGAATAATTTAGTACGAACACGTCAATCCCATTTTGTGTTTTGTTTTGTGAGGTAGAAGAAATGCATTTAGGAATTCTAATTTGGAGATAGTATCACAATGACATTGGTTTTGTCCATAACATACCAAGCATCATATTCATGCTTATTGAGTTTCTTCACTAACACAGCTTCTGTTGGAACATACAAGCTACCATCTACAAAGGTGTTTGGCTTCACTGTGATCGTAGGCATCACGATTATTTCACAAACAGACTGAGATTACTGAAGCACTATCAGCAAATATGCCGCTGTGGTTGAAGCAGTTTGCAAGTATCAAATGCTGACATAATCACTGACAACACGGTGTATCAAACAGCCTGTTTATTTAAGTATTTAATTACAAAGCACAACGGCTCATAGTTTACAAAACTGACACCAAACTTTGTAAGTGCAACAGATACTTTCCATATTAAATGTAATGACTGAGATGTATTATATGTCTATAGTTGTTTTGAGAACTACTTTCATTTTGCAACCAATCTGTGATTTCAAATAAAATTGGATGACAAATAATGACTTGTGAACATCAAGCATAAACAAAACACCTAATGGCATCCCATAAATTACAACAAGCTGCATGTCATGTGTATCTAAAACGAAATGGAGTGTGTGCTGAAATCTGATTAGCACATAAATGTTGTTATATGAGCTTGATCGCAGAAATCAGAAAACTGTTGTAATATACAATGTATATGAACAATCAGTTCCCTGTGAAATACTCAATAACACACGCCAATCTGATGAATCGTTACCTCGGTCATAAAAAACATATGATAAACCATAAACCCCGAAGTTACTTAAATTAGAGTTCCAAATTAAAGGGTGACTTCGGCCCATGAGGTTTGCTGCTTATTCTAAATTACTATTGAAATCTAGGGACCCCTGCAACATGCTAAAGTTTTAACTTCTGACTTAAGAGTTATTGCAAGGGCCCACTGATTTTAATCCTTAATTTTGAAAACTGCAAATAATCCTTTAATGAAAAGGATGTGTTCTATAATTCATGTTAAAATCATATGAATCATGAGATTCTGAAAATAGTAGTCATATTATTACGTACTACACAAGCAGAGTCACAATAAAATAGTTCATCAGACTAATTTATGTAACAGGACAATTGATAGATCAATGTAAAAACAACCTTCTCAGTGGTAGACTGACTATCTGTTTTGTAATACACAAAACTATCATTATTCTGTACTTGATAAGTTCACCTTGATTATTTTTTACTGAAATAGTTATATTGTTAGCAACTAGTACAGGACCTCTTGATACTATAGCACAACAGCTGGGGTGACATGGTGTGCCACCTTATCATATACTACTCAATGTTTGTTAGGAATATCCGATATGCCATTCTATTTAAACATACACATGACATATTATGAGAATCAGATTTGTGTATGATGGAAAGATTCAAAATATCCCTATGAAAAGTTGAGTAGCATACTAAACCTAAATTCAAAACTCCTCAAGTTCTTCCAACATATCTTTTTTCACAGAAACACTTCCACCTACAAATGGGAATAACAAAATACCACTCCATCAGTTTGAGATTTGGAAACATGTGCTACATTTGCTGTGAGCTGTAACACCAGAAAGTATGAAATGAAGAATGTAAACTCTGAAGTACAATGAATGTGCGTAATAAGTCATCTGTCCCGAGGCAAGATGCTCCTCAACCATTGCATCCCACAACATTCAGTTTCATTTGAAAACCTGATTCTGCAGTTGGCAGCTGACAGAAGTCACAGACTGAATCCATCAATTCCTCAATGTTCTGTTCAACCTCGTGCCATGCTCACATATGCCAAGTCTCTATGCTCTCTGCAATGCCACTAAAGCTGTACATTGATAAACATAACACAAAGAGCATGTAGCCAGCAGCTGGATGTGATCACCTTCAGCCTATGTATGTTGGAAAGAAAATGGTGTTCCGGTCTGAGGGAGCTACCACTTTCCATGGCAGTTTTATCACATTTGTATCTCATAGAGTTCATTTTTTCTCTCCCAGGTTATCCATCTTTGCCTTCAACTCTCGCTCCATAATCTTCTGGCGATCACAAAATCCAAGTCGGTTTTTACCAAATGAATTGGGCCCTGCAGCAGTTGGTGTATCTCTGCAAAACATATGCAGAAAAGAGTTAATTTGGACAACATAACTGTCAACATTATTTTTAGCCCCAGCCCAAATCAGTGCTCCCACATTTATATTACATCAGGTTCGTTCAGGATTGTATTTATGAAATAGACAAAATGGGAAGCTCATTTACTTGAAATATTTCCACTTAAACTTTTCACAAGACCTTTTATCTTTCTTATCCCATCAGAATCATTTTATTGGTACTGTGGTGCAACATTTGGGAACATTCACACTCTGATTGCAAAATATAGTGGATAAAAATGTAGACAAAGTCTTCAGGACTTTCAGTGTATTTCAAAATTAACCATTGAAGTCCTAGTAACAACGTATATGCAGGCCTGAACAAAGACTAATACCTTACTATACCTTTCACTCGGACTGGCTGGAGCATATGGCATGTCATTTGTTACTAATATGTTAGATGCAGATGTTAACTGTTCTTACAAGAATTACTATACCTTTCACTCAGACTTCCAAATCCATACCTCAGAGGCATAATTGTTTCATTCATCACAACAAAGAATGAATGCAAAATATTTGCAGGATTGAGGATTATGAGACACTTGCCTGTGACAAAACAAACTGTTTATTATCCTCTGTATTGTTTTGGTCTGTTCTATCATCTGATGCGATGATAATACTTTTCTGGAAAACAACTTCGGCTGAGTGTGTGAAACATTTGCTACCATGACGTCATAATGTTTATATCTGTCCCAGAAGTTAACAGACATAACCGTATCAACCTATAATCCTTTGGAGGTATCATCATGCTAATTGACCTCACCTTCCTATGTTTCTCATCCTCATCTTAGCCTCAGGTGGCATTTCTTCTTCATCACTCTGTCAACAGAACATGCAACAATTAAATATAAGCATCACCTTCCATTCTGCAAATGCTCTTTGTGCTCATGATTCTACAAAAATCATCACAAAAGTTTACAAAAATTAGCATACTTAGAGAGTAGTCTTTCAAAATATTTCCATATTTTGAAAACATCACACTATGTCAAAATATAAAGGAGGTGACCTTTTGACTATGAGTGAGACAAAAGAAGTTGTATGTATTTGCAATGATATACACATAGGAAGAATTACCTAACATATTCATGTATACCTAATTTCATACAGTGTGAATTTACCAGCAACTACCTACAAATGTTCACATACCTCATCATCTGGATTAAATATAGCAGCTACTTTAGCATTCTTCCGTAATACATTCGTAGCTGGGCAGTCTTTGGGTTTCTGAAATCAGATGATTGGAAATGGATCAATAATCGCATTTAGCGTTAACGGCTATATTATGAAAATACACAATGCTAAATTGTGTTATTGTTGGCGTCACCATACCACGTGCCTTTGTTTATAAACATGACCTTGGCACGCGCAGCTGCAAACATTACGTCAGCAAATGTCGTCATCAGTTGCTACGTCATCACACTACGCGACAGATAATTAAACATTATTTCATGCGTCACTGGATTTTGTAGATTTTCCAACAAAATCATTGATATGCTGACAGGTCTGATTAGTTGTTTAACATTTGATCTTTGATCTGATCATGAACATTGTTTTCAACAATAAATCTTTAAAAACTAGATTCTAAATAACTTTGTGATGCTTTGGAACATTTTTATCCCAAATTTCAACATTCAACTGCAATGAATGAGTGAGTGAGTGAGTGACTTTGAACAGTTCTTGAATTACATCACAGTGTATCAGCTTGAATAGCCTTGATTATAGGCACGCAAAAGTGATGCAAGTCAGGAAAGCAAATTTTGGCGCCTTAGACAATGCCTTCAGGAGGCAGTTCCTTAGAAAAATGGTTAATCATATCAAAGATTCACATCCTGCATGTGGACAGTGTGTTAAGAACATTCTTAGAGTCCTTCATAGTGATATTGCTGGGAGGTTGCTAAAAGCAGTGTATGTCCACTCTCACACATTCAAAAGTTAAGTACATGGAGACGTACAATATTTTCATCCTCAAAAACTGAGGAAAACATCCAGAGGAAATATCATCAGTTATTATCAATACATCAGACTTTTTTAAAGCATGACCACCAATAACGTCACAACAATATCTTTGGTGGAAAATTGTATCTTTCTGTTGGGACCTCCCATTTCTTGCTATACAAAGACCTCACGACTTACCTGTGAATGAAACAAAAGAAGTTCTCTGTTTTTTCAATAATATAAATATGAATTTTAGCAGAGCGAACCATGATTTACCTGTGTTGATAGAGACATCTTAATTGGTGCTGGAGCTTGTTTTGGAGCAATCTGTATGACTGGACTCTTCTTGGCATCAGTGAGTTTCGAACTGAAACCCATGGAGAACTTTTTCTTCACAGGTGGCGCTGTCTCACTGTCATCATCAGCCAGTTTCCGTTTCTCTGGGCTGTCTCCTTCTCCCCGCTCTGTGTTGACCCCTGGGTAATTTGAAATACTGGCAAATTTGAAACACTTTGTCACAATCCACACATGGATTTGACCCAACTGTCACTGTGAAATGTAAAGAATGAAAAAAAACACTAAATTAGAAGAATATACTACAAATGCTGAAAACTGTTACTAACAGCATCTTTGATGTCTCTTTGTGATCTTAAATTTAGGGAGAAAGAGAAATATCAGTTTAGTCATCACAGTTATGAAGACTGTCAAGGTCATCTTTCTACAAACATGGCAGTTTAAACGTCACATGCAACCAAAAAATCAAACATAATTAAAACACAATTATCACTTCTTCATGACATATAATATGCATTGCTGATTATGAAAAAACAAATAAACAAAATTATAAGCATACAATCACAAATCAAAAGTGCAATATTTTGTACTTGGGTTTACCTCCCTCGAAACGAAGCAGCCGGGATACCGAACCCAGTCAGAGCGGGTGGGTGTGCACTCAAGTGTAATGGCTGGTTCATTTGCAGATGCCGCCCTAACGGCTCATTGTGTGTGTATATATAGAGATGTTGGGTTTTGTAAATACATGCTCATTTTTTGTGTATAACATTTTGCAATCAACAGACATCATAACATGTCATGTGTTCAAGTATCACACCTGCCTGTCTGTGTAATTACATAATGTGACAGAGACCGAACTCGGGCCATAAATCAATGCGTTTTGTTTATGGTGTATAGCCTGATAGGTGTTAAGTTCAAATTGCATGTGGTCAGTGATCGAAGTTGTGTATTGAATATTGTCATTAGCAGACGGGCAGGCAGACACATAGGTGTCAATAAAACAGAAATTGAGTTTTGTCTGTGACAACAATATATCTATATCACAGTTAGAAATTCTGTCAACGCTAAATAACGACATTGCTCTTAAGTATCAAACTGAGAAAGTGACTCGGTAAGAAGAACGTGTGGTGAAATAGACAAATGAAAGTATATAAACAGTTAAATCGGTAATCTACTGTAATAACATATAAAAAGCTCGAGCCTCTGAAATATCAACAAAACATTAGAAAAATAGCTCACACCAAAGCCTTCACTGAGTATTCACTGGACAACCCGCTTCCAAGCTGTGCGAACCTATTTCACTGCGCATGTGCTATCTGCAAAGTTGTGTTTTACGTTGCATGTGACCTTTAACATAATCAACAAACTAAAGTCAAAGTTTAGCACTAAAGAATGGCTATAAAGAATGGGTAGCATAATGCAATGTACAATACAAATGTAACTGTGTAGTAGCAGTGGTACTGTCAACTTTTCTATACATGGGTATGATAGGAATAAACAATTGAAATAAATATTAGTTAGACTGGGCTGGGAGAATACCAAATATTTTTAAAACATAGAAATCCAGCTTAAAATAAGAACAAAATAACTCATTGACATGGTTTAATGGAAATAAACATCAAAATAGAACATCATGTCAGTTCATAAACATGGTAAATTGGAGATAAACATAACATTATTACTTCATAAACATGGTAAATTGGAGATAAACATAACATTAGTACTTGAAAACAGAAATTCCATCATTATCATCAGTGACACATCTGCGTCATGTTTCAACAAACAGTATTTTGCATTAACTATGGAAACTAAAACTGTGGATAGCATTTGTTTCTGGTCATTATATGGGGGACGAGCCCTCCAAACATACTGCAAGGCAGCTAATAAGATTTGAAACAATTACTAAGAAAAGAATTTGTGCACATTCATTACCAGGAAAGTGGAAGGCATCATCTATATCTTTTCTGACATAACTTTTCTTCTTTACCTGAACATACAAAAATGTAGAGGCTATATAGCACACAGCCTTACCAAATAATACTTATAAGGTCAGACATCCCTTAATGTTACTGAAATAATCTCCTTGCAAAGGTCCAACCATTTTTCAGATGTAACACCACACGCTATGCAAGTCCCAAGTAATGAAAAGACCGAATGAAATGTTCTACAGTCACGACACGAGAAAACCTAAAATAAAAATAAAGTACAGTTAGCTTCGTGCGTATCTACACAACGACAGTAGGTACACCTCAATTCAACCTGCACCTGCGACACAGTCGGGCTGCGCTGTTGTCTGGCAAACTGCTAAGAATGTAACGCTAAATAATGAACATAATGTATTACTAAGTGCAACGTGAAGCATCAAACTAGCTGAATAAAACCTTCTGTCATGAAATAAACCACATTTTTATATGGCATATTAAAGAGGGGAGTAGACATTCGGGTAAACACAAATGCAGATTTTACCTGAGGGTAACTTGTCTGCCATGTTGGTAGAAAAGGGAGTATTTCGTAACATGACAGTCGATAAGCGAGGTTTGAGGTATACCTTTAAGAAACAAAAGACAACAAATTGCGTACGATGTATTAATTAATAAAGTATTACTCTGTGACACAAAATATTGTCTCAGTGAATGTAGGTTTAGATTGGAAAATTCTTTTTGATGTGTAAATAATGTCTCCCTTGTGATGATATTCATCATGGCGGACCTCTCAACATTGAATGGGTATGTGTCCGTTTGTTTATATTAACAACGCCGTTATCAGGAGGCGAATCGTATCAGTTTATGATGTCTATGTTGCGTTTGGCTATTATGTAACATTACAGTTTTTCTGTGTTGAGATATTTTAATTCATTTTGCTGAAATACACCTCGAAATTATCTTACTTAATTTACGATTAGAGCATTATACGAGCGCTTCATGTAGAAGTTAACATTTAATGTTAACTCATGTTGATCAACATAATGAAAAGATCTCTAGATTCTGCTTGCTAAATGTTTATCTTTGATCACCGTTTGTGCAAACTTTTGAATTAAAGGTATCGGAAGGGCATTTACTTTATTGGATATGGGACCCACTTGAGCTGAAAGGTTCATTTCTGTACAAAGAAACTTATCCTAGCCAAAATCCAGGGACCCAGGGATGAGTCCATTCCTCATTTCACAATGCACCTAATCGTTTTTTCTTAATCTCACCATGGACAACTTTCCTAAGTGGATCAGAACTGTCATTCTGTTGTATGAGATGCATTCAAGCGTGAAAAAGTGAAAATGCACAGTAACATGCTTACAGTACTGTTATGTTCCATAATGTTTAACATTATCCAGCATGTTCTTCAAAATCAGACAAACCAAACCTACAACATTAACCGATTTCTGTTTTAGGTTCAGGGACATTTACTCACCTGCCATATATACTCAGCAGCAAAACAAATTCAAAATTAGATAGGCACTGTAATCAAATCATTACAGAAATTGACATAATAAGTGGATCAAAAAATGTTTCTGTGTACAATATCTTGACACATCAATGAATAACTCAGCACCATTTCAAGACATTACGTGAACGTTTGCAGTCCATTCAGACTCTTGACTTCAGTATCTAGTGTGACCACCACGAGTGGCAATACTGCAGCGCAGCGTCTATGGATGGAATGCACCAATCGATTGATGAAGGCCATTGGCACCTGGAACCAAACTCTGAGAAAAGCCTGGAGCAATAAATCGGCTGTGTTCGGCCATGGTATGACATTATTCGGTCTCCTCTGAATTTCATCTCAAAGATGTTCAATTGGGTTTAAATCAGGACTAAGGGATGGCTAGTGCATAATGTTGACACTGTTCTGCTGTAGGAAGTCCCGTGTAGCTCTGGCAGTATGGGTCCGGGCGTTATCATGCTGGAAAATGTTGTTCGGTTGACGTGCGAAATGTGGTATGACGTGGTATTTGAGAACTTTGGTAAGTTATGGTTGAGTGATTTTGTAGCGTGTTCATTTCGTATCACTGAAACGAAACCCAAGATTACTGATATGCCATTAAATTCCATTCAGTACTCTAAATGTACTCTTATTGTTTTCCTGTACTCCTATATTGAAAAAATAAGGAGTATGTACGTACTCCTGATCATGAAAAATTATCTGGAGCCCTTGTAAGGTTTTCCTTTTCAAGTTATGGTTGAGTGATTTTGTAGCGTGTTCATTTCGTATGGCTCACAAATGTTGCTCTTTGTTAGTTATGTGCACAATTAGGCTTCGCTATTGTTGCTTTATGCTAGTATTTTAATAGCTTTGCTGTAGCAGTTAAATATCCCCCATGCATTGTACTTGATGCGGGATCTTCAGTCCCTTCACCAGCCATTCCTTCCACTTCACAGGCACCTTCCCCTTCAAATGTCCCTGTTTCAAATCCATTAACATTTGAACTAATCTCCAATCTTTTACAGCAACAAATGGTGTCGGTTCACTTGCTCATATCTGACGTGATGTCCGGTTTCCGTCAGGAGATTGGCGTCTGTCCAGGTACTGGGGGGTGTCCCGTTTCTGTGGCGGGCAGTGTCCCCAACCTTAGCTTAGGCTCTGGTGTGGGGACTTCTGTTGGAGTGCGTCTGCACCGAGCGTCGTCTCGGTCGCCAGCCACCCCTCCGCTACTGTGCCTACTGCCAGTCTGAGCCTCGGCTCTGGGTCTGGGTCGGTAGTTGGTGCTGGTGCTATGGGTACTGTCCCCGTAGTTTCCGCTACCCCCTTGCATTTGGCCCCACCGCTTGCGCCGGCTTTGACGGTCCATTCGGTGTCGGCGCCGTTTGGAACGACATGATAGAGGTACCGTACTTCAAGTGACACTGCACTCAGTGATCTCATCTGTGGAAAAGGGAGATTGGCTCACGTCAATCAACCTCAAAGACATGTACCTCCATGTTCCAATGCACCCTGAGTTCAGGAAATACCTAAGGTTTTCCTTCGACGGGAGGTGCTATCAGTTTCGTGTGCTCCCCTTCGGCATCTCCACGGCGCCAAAGGGTGTTCACCAAACTCATGCTAATTCCAGCGCAGGTAGCCAGGTCAAAGGGCAGGTGCTGTCACCCGTACCTAGACGATTGGCTCCTTCGTGCACTTGCCACTCACTTGAGTCGATTTGCGACACTTTCCATGATAAGTATACTCACCAAATTGGGCTGGATTATCAATCTCAAGAAGTCAGAACTGGTTCCCACCCAGGATCTGGTTTTCTTGGGAGCGAATTTCTCGAGTCCCCAGGGCCTCAGCTCGGACTTGGCTCCAGTTGCTAGGCAATATGGCGGCAACGGTTGACATTGTTTGGCGAGCGCGGTTGAGGATGCGACCCATTCAGCAAGCTTTGGCTTGAATGTGGGTTCACTCCCGGAGTTACGAGTTGATTCTCCACACTCCGGGGTGGCTAATTCCTCATTTGCGGTGGTGGACAATGGCAGGGAATTTATCCAGGGGGATCCCCTTGGACATCCCTTTGCCACTTCTCTCGATTCAGACAGACGTCTCCCTCACAGGGTGGGGGGTGGGGTGGGGCGTGCTGGGTGACCTGTCAGTCTCAGGCCTGTGGTCGGCTGTGTCTTCGATTGAACTAGAGGGTATGTTAGCCAGACAGAATACCGCTCCCGACTCGCCATCGTTGGGAGTCTGTCTTATGCTTATATGTACCCCAAGGAGGACTTCTTCTGAAAAAGAATTTTACAAACCTGTAGAGGTTATGAATTCTTTGAAGAAAGTCCTCCTTGGGGTACGACCGCCCACCTCCCCTCATTCTGTCTGGCACATTCAGCATGAAAAGTGAGGTACGAGGTAAGCAACCAGAGTTACCTGGTCTTGGCTGTAGGGGGCCCTGTGAGGGGCCCTGTAGGGGTGGTCTCACTAAACAAAACAAGTTTTTGTTTGGTAAAATATTTTATTGAAATATTGTTACAACTGTCATAGGTATTTTAAAATGGACATTTTAATGCTTATATGTACCCCAAGGAAGACTTTCTTCAAAGAATTCATAACCTCTACAGGTTTGTAAAAAATTTACAGCTAAGCAATCCAGGGGCCCGTTTCACAAAGCCCTCTTACCGGTACGACCTCGTAAAGCAGGTCGTAGACCACCTCTTACTTTTTTACCCTGTTTCACCAAGACCTTACATGCCGTAAACAGCCCAAATTTAGGACCCCGATTGACCTGTCGTAAATGCTTTAGGAGGTCGTAAACACTACAAAGATGGCGTCAACGATTATGGCACTGCAAGTGATTAAAACGCGCTAACAAAGAAGACCTGAGAAATTTTGAGACAGGTCGAACGTGCTCAACACTCTGGATGATGTTGACATGATGTCGAGATATAGATTTCCTAGGCATGTTGTTTTCTAACTGTGCAGAAAGTTAGAGCCCCAACTGAATAAACCTACACGGCGTTCACATGCTATTCCGACCTCCCTGCAAGTGTTGTGTACACTGAGGTATTTGGCAAAAGGGGCTTTCCTCAGTGAATTCGGGGATGTCCATGGAGTTTCCAGAGCTAGTGTGTCAAGAATACTCTGTGACACCGCTAGTGCTCTGGCCGAGTCTCTGGACTTGATTAAAAACCCCTGGGTGCCACATGGACATATGTCCTTCCTCTTCAACCCTCACTTTGAAGTCCAATAAAATTCTATATATATCACGCAAACACATATACTTCCCAGTTTTGTATTCTGTGGGAAATTCCCTGTTTCTATTATCTCAGACAAAGCTAAAGTGCTTAAAATAACCTTTCAAAATAGGCTTCATTGAAATGTCGCCATTTTGGACACAATATGAAATCACGATTCACAGCATTATTTGCTGTACAGTATGTTTTCAAATGGGAAAATCGGATAGTTACTGGGAGTATTGAATTTCAAAAATAACATATTAATGATCACTGAAATCAGTTTTTCATGATATCACTAATGATAAATCTGAAACGCTGCTGATGAACCTAGAATCTGTTGGGATGTTTTCAAAAATATACTTACACGAACGCCGGAGTGCGCTTTCCGCCATATTGGATAGTGTTTACAAAATCCATCTCACGAAGGCCGGTATTGAGACGCCTATTACATCACGTATATTTCATAGTCAGCTGCGACAAATGCATCACTGAATTCCCCATACATTTTAAAATCAAATTACAACTGGTCTTTGTCACCAATACCAACTGTCTAGAATAAATGAAACGAAAGATGTTGGGTGTGAAAACGAATGCTGTGCTCGGAAGACTGAGCTAGTTTGAAATTCTGATTTTACACTGCGTAGCATTTTCTACAATTTTCCGACATCCAGCCAGCTATTCATTGCTTGCAATGGCTCAATACCTTTAGAATACACATGGAAAGAGTATCATAGCAAGAAAGAGGAAATTAAAAAATAGATACGATGCAATGATTTGATACTTCATAAGAAATTGTCAAAGTTTCCGTGCAGCATGAAGCCATAACAGACGCAAAATCACGCAGAACGACAACGATAATTATCAGCATTTCTGGCTTCTTCTCTTACATACAATGAAACCGATGAAAACATATAACAATACACAGATAGTCAGAATCACTCTGATTACTTACATCTCATATTTATGTACAAACGATCCCTCAGAGGTACAGATAAGCTGCGTATCTGCGTAAATTACTCAAATATTTATGTGAAAACTCAATTCGTATTAAGTCTATTGCATACAAGTACGCATTCATTTTTGTAAATACTCACTAAATGTGATCTTACATGCGTGCACACAAAAATGTTGAATCACAACTTGCGTACCGGTGGATAGATAAAATAACTGATGTATATGCAGAGGTTCTATTTCAACACATGAACTTGACAACTTGCAGTCTTTCTTGTCGTTTCTCATATTCAGATCCAATAGAAATAACATTTAAACTCTATCATATTTTTACAATCAATGGAAAATGGCAAAATACCCATTGAGTTTGTGTGAGGTGGGTACAATTTAGTTGTTTACTCAAAGGAAATTCAGGATACCCAATTGAGATGAACACAAGCGAGTACATAACTCAATGACCCAAAAAGTTATCTGTAGCTCTGATCCCTGAATCAAGGGAAGAGTCCTCGCAAAATCCTGTGTACCCTTGTCAGCGAAGCCGCCATTTTGTAAGAAATCGGTCATCGGTTGTGATGTCATATGTCAACATTGTTGTACATATTAGGCAATTTCTTTGAGGTGAAGGTCGGTTGAAAAAGAGTAAACACTATCCTTCTGATTACACTTTCAGTACTATGATGTATATTTTCGTATCGTTCAGATATTTTGTCATGAAACCAATTTCAGTACCTACATTTAGCCGTGTTCAATATCATATCATACGTGTATATAGGGTATACGTTTGTATTCTTTAAAAGTTTTTGATTGTTTGAATAAAAGTTACAAAAGAAATTGACATATTTAGAGTATCACACCATATTTTAAACCTTTACACACGTGTTAGTAGATCAATGTAGCCATAATTGCAACATGTACTTTAGTTCCTATAGTGTGCAATATTCAATACATTGGGACTGATATTGCAGTTTCATATGAACAGGTTAATGGACAGTGATTTAATTCAAACCTTATAAGTAAAACTGATAATATTAATGAAAATGGTTTATACATTTTATCTTGTAATTTTCAATGGAATTTAGTGAGAGAATCCAAAATAATTCATTGATTGATATTTTTTTTACCATAAGATAACCTGTACTTTCAATTAAAGACATAACATTTGCATTGTTATTCAAACTATTTCTAGTTTGAAATACTTTGGGAATAACAAGATAAGCAGGTGCCCGTTCGGTCTCGCTTTATGCGTTGCTATGCAACAAAGTTCCTCTTATACAATGTACGACATGGATTTAGGACCGCGTCGTACGACATGGATATGACATCTTTGTGAAACGGTCGTAAAGGAGGTTGGAAGAGGGTCGTAAACAAGGTCATATGGTCTACGACCTCCTAAATTTAGGAGGCTTTTATGAAACGCGGGCCAGATTTCCCCAATCATTCCCAACTTCAGCTGGACTTCTTTTTCAATCCATTCACTAGAGTCTGGGAGACAGACTAAAACATGCCAAACATCTGTTGTATTTGGTACATTACTTTTTAACTTTACTTTTAGATATATGGATTCACACTCTTCCCTTCTGCATCACATGATGACGTAGATAAGAGATGTAGCAGGACAGTGGTGAAACATGAACCGCCACCACTACCACCTACCTGGCCACTACCTTAGTCAAAAGAGATACTCAGTCCGTCCCCTAGACTATCCAGAGCTTCAAGTCACTGGTGCAACGCTCCTCAACACTGGACTACATGTGTACGACACTGCTTATAAAGTCAGGTAAATGATGTACATAACTTGCATCTCCTGCATGATGTGAAATGATCCATCCTATCATTTTCTGCATATCTTGGTATGATTGAATGACTGTGTATTAGAATAGAATTAGAACCCCCTATGTCATAGTGATGTAGCTTGCATGATTATTCCTATCTAAATCTAGCTTTTACGTATTCTTTTTCAAGGGCATCAATGTCAGTCCTTAAACTGATTCATATAGCCACTACACTCATACTGGAAACAGTGGCATTTTTCACATTACAAAGCTTATAAAAAAATAATGTAATGTAATGTGTATCAATGGGTATTGTGTCAAGCCTTGTGAAGGCTTGGTAACGCAAGTGGATCAAAGATGGATGGCAGTCTACATGTGACAACATCTTTGTTTAATATTGTCAAATAATCTTATAAATAAAGTTAAAACACTGATCATCAACAAGGTTATAATAATGTGGATACATGACACGTTTTATAAATAATAACCTCTATTTATTGGAATAAAAAGAAATTGTTATCCATAAAACATGTCATGTATTCATGTTCATCCGACTTCTAAATGCCTTTCAAGAACTTCATGTGATAATAGTATGGTAACAGCAAAGTTGGTGATGCTTAAAATAATGAATGTATGAGATTCCTTTTGATTTAAACTATGATCATGATTACTCATGTTGCACACTTGGAAGTTAGAAACAGAATCTTCGTCAGCTGTCCAAGCAAGTGTCACATTTGGCTTATTTCCTACAATTGCTTTCATGGAAGTTAGATCACATTTTAAGTGGGAGAAGCTTCTTGATGAAGGGAATGCTATAATCATACTGTATTGTGGTATTCAACATTGTTTCTGTTTGACAGTCTATTTCACTGTATATTTCCAGACATGACCCAGATCATGAGAGTATCAAATCAGTGTTGGCAAGACTTGAGAACTACCAGCATCACCGTGGCCTGCCACCGGTGTGTGTGGTCTGTGAGTGTCAGAGAAATGTGCAGGCAGCCAGCAAAGCCAAGTCAGCACTGATGGCTTTTGACAGCGGGGACAGTGACACTGACAGTGATGATGAAGGTGAGACTTTAATTGTCAAGATGGAAATGTGTATCAAAATGTTAATACATAAACTTGTTAATCTGAAGTTTGGTCAACAGACTTTGGTGACTTAATAGCCCAATTTGCCTTGGTTTCTAAACTATCAGTAAGTGAACTTAATGACACAATCCTTCTTCTGCTTATATATGTTATGTGGTTATTCCCAGGTTAGAATTAGTGTTCAGCAACACATGATTGTGGTAAGAGGTGACTAACGGGATCAGGTGGTGAAGCTCGCAGACCTGGTTGACACATGTCCTCAGTTCCCAATTATGTAGATGGATGCTCATGCTGTTGATCACTGGATTGTCTGGTCCAGACTGGATTATTTACAGACCACCATATTATAGCTCGAATATTGCTGAGTGTGGCGTAAAACTAAGCTCACTAACTCAAATGGAATAGATCCCAATCATTGTATTGCTCTTTAAAAGAGGTAACCCATAGGGTGGTTTGTACCAGCTAAACTCAATTATTAACAGAATATAGCAGGCTGTGGAATTAAGCTACACACAAATATGTAATGATGTTGACTAATACTTTCAGATGCTCTGACAATCGATAACATGTTGAGATTAATGGAGCGGTATATGACGCGTGCAACGAGTGCCTCTCAGATGAAAACGATGGTCAGACTCATCAACAACCACACCATAACAGACTATATCACAGCAGAACAAGTCATGAAGGTATGTCAAGGAATCACTGACGCCGATATTCTTAATACATATCCACTGCAGGCAATAATGGAACCTTTGAAATTTTAATGTAGATGTCCTGATTCAAACGTATCATGATGTATTAATATGATAATTTATACAGATGCCAATGTATGTATGAATCATGCTAAGGCAAGGTACTGAAATAGTCAGGATAGACCTTCTGAATGTATATATGTGAAGTGAAATGTTAGGAAATGTTGCTCAAGTTTGGTAACTATTAACAAAGTTTTAGAATATCCTGACAAACATTTTTCACTCCTAATGCAGCTGCAAGCACTGTTACGCAGAACCAAACCAGAGCTTCGAGAAGCAGGTCTGCTGTTGATAGAACAGCTCTGTTGTAAGGAGGACAACGCCGTCATCATGGCTGAAGAGGAAATATTCAATGATCTTCTGACAGTTCTCTCATCACCTCACAGCATCAGGGTCCAGGTGGCTGCACTCAAGGCAGCAGAAAAGGTACATATACAATGATATATATGTGTGGGGTCATGGGAGTGACAGAGAGCCAGGTGTTTCACTGATTTGGGCAGGGTTAAGGAAAATCAGGGAGAGACACAGGGTTAAGGAGGAATCTGGTGAGAACTATGGGTTCAGGGAGAATCAGGGAGAATCATAGAGAGACACATACCCAGATAGCATTCACAGGCGTTAGTCTAACGTTGATAATGGCTTTGCCAATATTGCCAACGAGACACAGGGCCAGCGTCAGAATGCTATCTGAGAGTAGTTTCGGTGCAGGGTTTGGGGACAGACATTGGATTCAGGGAGAGTCGGGAGAGACACAGTGTTCTGGGAGAATCCAGGAGAGACACATGGTTCTGGAATCAGGGAGAGACACAGGGTTCTGGGAGAATCAGCGAAAGACACAGGGTTCAGGGAGAGAGACACAGGGTTCTGGGAGAGAGACACAGGGTTCAGGGAGAATCCAGGAGAGACACATGGTTCTGGAATCAGGGAGAGACACAGGGTTCTGGGAGAGAGACACAGTGTTCTGGGAGAATCCAGGAGAGACACATGGTTCTGGAATCAAGGAGAGACACAGGATTCTGGGAGAATCAGAGAAAGACACAGGGTTCTAGGAGAGAGACACAGGGTTCAGGGAGAATCAGGGAGAGACACAGGAGTCTGGGAGAATCAGGGAAAGACACGCTTCTGGCTGAATCAGAGAGACAGGGTTCGGGGAGAGACACAGGGTTCAGGGAGAATCATGGAGAGACACAGGATTCTGGGTGTATCAGGGAGAGAGACAGGGTTCTAGGAGAATCAGAGAAAGACACAAGGTTCTGGGAGAATCAGGGAGAGACACAGAAGTCTGGGTGAATCAAGGAGAGAGACAGGGTTCAAGGAGAATCAGGGAGAGACACAGGGTTCTGGGAGAATCAGGGAAAGACACAGGGTTCAGGGAGAGACAGGGTTCTGGGAGAATCAGGGAGAGACACTCAGGGCACAACACTGGGTTCTGGGAGAATCAGGGGAGATTTGCCACAGGGCCAACGGGAGAATCAGAAGAGACATCTGGGTAGTTCCGGGAGCAATATTGGGGTTCAGGGAGAGTCAGGGAGAAACACTGGGTTCAGGGAGAATCATAGAGAGACACATAGTTCTGGGAGCAATATTGGGGTTCAGGGTTCAGAATCAGGGACAGACACTGGGTTCTGGGAGAATCCAGGAGAGACACATGGTTCTGGAATCAGGGAGAGACACAGGGTTCTGGGAGAATCAGCGAAAGACACAGGGTTCTGGGAGAATCAGGGAGAGACACAGGAGTCTGGGTGAATCAATGGAGAGACACAGGGTTCAAGGAGAATCAGGGAGAGACACAGGGTTCTGGGAGAATCAGGGAGAGACACGGTTCTGGCTGAATCATGGGGAGAGACAGGGTTCGGGGAGAGACACAGGGTTCAGGGAGAATCACGGAGAGACACAGGGTTCTGGGTGAATCAGGAGAGAGACAGGGTTCTAGGAGAGACACAGGGTCCTGGAGACACAGGGTTCAGGGAGAGACAGGGTTCTCAGGGGAGACACAGGGTTCAGGGAGAATCATGGAGAGACACAGGATTCTGGGTGAATCAGGGAGAGAGACAGGGTTCTAGGAGAATCAGAGAAAGACACAGGGTTCAGGGAGAGACAGGGTTCTGGGAGAATCAGGGAGAGACAGGGTTCACAGGGATGAATCAACGCTGATAATGGGGCCAATATTGCCAACGTCAGAATGCTATCTGGGTAGTTCCGGGAGCAATATTGGGGTTCAGGGAGAGTCAGGGAGAAACACTGGGTTCAGGGAGAATCATAGAGAGACACATAGTTCTGGGAGCAATATTGGGGTTCAGGGTTCAGAATCAGGGACAGACATTGGATTCAGGGAGAGACACAGTGTTCTGGGAGAATCCAGGAGAGACACATGGTTCTGGAATCAGGGAGAGACACAGGGTTCTGGGAGAATCAGCGAAAGACACAGGGTTCAGGGAGAGAGACACAGGGTTCTGGGAGAGAGACACAGGGTTCAGGGAGAATCCAGGAGAGACACATGGTTCTGGAATCAGGGAGAGACACAGGGTTCTGGGAGAGAGACACAGTGTTCTGGGAGAATCCAGGAGAGACACATGGTTCTGGAATCAAGGAGAGACACAGGATTCTGGGAGAATCAGAGAAAGACACAGGGTTCTGGGAGGGAGAGACACAGGGTTCAGGGAGAATCAGGAGAGACACAGGGTTCTGGGAGAATCAGGGAGGAGAGACACAGGGTTCTGGGCTGAATCAGGGAGAGACACACAGGGTTCAGGGGGAGAGACACAGGGTTCTGGGTGAATCATGGAGAGACACAGGGTTCTGGGTGAATCATGGAGAGACACAGGGTTCTGGGAGAATCAGGGAGAGACACAGGGTTCTGGGAGAATCAGGGAGAGACACAGGGTTCTGGGTGAATCAAGGAGAGACACAGGGTTCTGGGAGAACAGGGAGAGACACAGGGTTCTGGGAGAATCAGGGAGAGACACTGGGGTTCAGGGAGAGACAGGGTTCTGGGAGAATCAGGGAGAGGGGCACAGGGTTCTGGGAGACACAGGGATCTGGGAGAACAGGGTTCCAATATTGCCAACGTTCAGAATGCATCTGGGTGAGTTCAGGGGAGAGCAATACAGGGTTCAGGGAGAATCAGGGAGAAACACTGGGTTCTGGGAGAATCAAGGGAGAGACACAGGGTTCTGGGAGCAAGGGAAATTGGGGTTCAGGGTTCAGAATCAGGGACAGACACTGGATTCAGGGAGAGTCGGGAGAGACACAGTGTTCTGGGAGAATCCAGGAGAGACACATGGTTCTGGAATCAGGGAGAGACACAGGGTTCTGGGAGAATCAGGAGAGACACAGGGTTCTGGGAGAATCAGGGAGGGACAGGATTCTGGGAGAATCAGGGAGAGACACTGGGTTCAGGGAGAGGTTGAGATGTCCAAAATATTTGTATTCATGTCTTAGTTCATTGATGTGAAATGTTTTGATTTGAACATGCAGTTGTCGCTGTTTGCAGCTGTTCTCTCATAGTCAAGTTGCTGACAAGCTGACAGAGGCAGTAGATGAAGTATTGATGGCAGTGTTGTTGAGAGTTCTCTATAGTGATCACCCACTGGAGATGAAATATGCCAGCTGCTGCGTGCTCCGTACACTGTCAAAACATGAGAGCACTGCTGGACTCGTGGGTCAGGAACTTCTCTTCATTGTCAAAGAATTAAAGGAGAGCAGCTCCAAAATGAAGGTACACACTTTTAATTCCTTTATGACTGAAAGTTAAGGTTTTAAAGTCTTTGTCCCCAACCACACAGTAAAGCTCCAGAGTGAATCATGCAGAGCATGTTAAATATCAAGTTGTATGTATTTGTATTTGAGCATTTGGTCAGCATGAAACTTGGGCTGGAGTAAGTGTCTTGAAAACTTCTTCTTTTTTCTGACTTTCTTGTGTTAAGTTAAAAACTCTGTATTGGCATATGTCCTGATGACTAGGCATTCAAGGTCTGTTTCTCAGTATTGAAATTGAGATGAACTTTTAATTGATCAAAGTGCTTGTGATCATTGAAAATTTTGTCCATAATGTTTGTTACATAACTGAAGTCTGTAAAGCAGTGATTTATTATGACCAACGTCAGGGTTCAATGAACCAAGTCAGTGAGACTGACCACTTAGCCCATTTAGTCATGTCTTTCAACAAGCATAGGCTGCTTGGAGAATGATACATGAAGTACTAGTAAATCGAGTTTGTGCTTTAAATTTTTTTACTGCATGGATAAACATTCATTCTTGACCTTGTCATACAGTTTCATAATATGTGAGATAGTCTCCTGGCTAGCTATTCTCGAAACGTTCATAGCCCTACGAACTTCTTAAACCCATTCTTAACACATTGGCTACGATCAAAGATAAGAATTCTTAAGGCTACGAATGTTTCGAGAATAAGGGCCCTGGTTCTATTCCTTTTATCTTTCAGGAAGTATTTGTAGAGATTGTGATCAACCTGTATCGTCAAACCGATGTTATATACCCAGATATGATTGATAAGAATATCATCAGATCTACCACATCCATGATTGTTGACGGACCATGGTAATATAACATTTTAGATTTATATTACTTATAGAAAGACTTACAAATATATGTTCATCAACTCTAGATAGCTAAAATGGTTTGCCTAGTGTCTGCAGGTTTTGAGGATGTTGCTCTTTATGTGATTATTTCAATTACTGGTAGTAGGTGAATGTCAAGCACAATAAGTTGCCTTCATAAAACTTTCATAATCTTAAATTATTTGAAAACAATGTGTTATGGCTGATAGGATGCATGACTTCATATAGAATAGTATTTGCTGAATTCAGTCTTTGTGATTTTTATTTCGTTAAAGAAGCTATTCAAAAGCATCATGCATTTTATATCTCTACTGCTGCCAGTACTGAGATTAATTTTCATTTCTGATCAGGACAGATGTATACAAATTCACACTAATTTTGTCAGACCCATACAATGGTGTAGAATCCCCTACAACTGAATTATATCAGGCATTGGCTCTAATGTCAAACACAGCAATACCCATAACTGGTCACCTGTGCATGTGTTGTAGTGGTGTGCAGCGGCAAGCTCTCTACTTGGTGTGTTGTTTGGTGGAGGATGAGGCTGAAATAGCCAACGTCATCAGTAACAAGGATCTGATGCTGTATGTGATGCAGCTGATGAGAGACTCCAAATGTAGGTGAGTTATCTTAAAACAAGTCGTCCATACTAAATGCTTGTCATAAATTTATTTGAAGAGGATTTGATGGCCACAATGGCTGCATATCACAGATACATTGTGACTGAATGATATAATTCTATGGTGACCTTTGACTTGGCTCATGTAATTAGCTTTGAGTGTGCATTTGCTTGTGAGTTACATGCAAGGAAATAGTATAAAGCCACTTTTATTAAGTGACTAGTCATATATTTTCTATGTTAAAGTGTGGTGGTATTCAGTGGGGAATCAGTCAGCAATATACAATATAATCCTGAGAGTTATCCCCCCTTTCCCAAATGATCCATCCATAATATGAATGGTGCTCTGTCCAGGAAAGTGCGTGAGGTTGCAGGGAAAATAGTACAGACGATGTGTGGGTGTCGTAAAGGCTCGCTAGCCCGCACAGTGATGGAACACTTCACAGCATTCCTGCACCCAGAGGAAGATGACATCCATCAAGCTGGGGACACAACAGCACGGGGGTCAGCCAGAATTGTCTACCCAGTGAGAGTAAAACACCAGGCAGAGGCACGGAACTGGCAGTCATTTGATGAGTTCCTGGCTCTTATTGGGAAACTTATAACTAAACATGGTGAGCTCTAAGATTGTGTTATTTCTGTCTGAATGTCTTGTAAGGTGCTTTCAACTTAATAGAATGTGTTTTATATTGTGTGTAAAAACTACAGAGACTATTGATGCATTGAAAGTTGCAATACATGAAGAACATATTAAAAAGTTGGCATGGATGTTGCACTGCTGTAGACCTGCGATATGATAGGAAAAAGTACAACTTATTGTGTTCCTAAATATCCACTATTGCATGAGATGACATTGTGGATCAGGTGGTCAGATTTGGTGTCAGCTTGCCCCACAGTTTGGAGTGTTGCTCATAATAGCAATCACTGTTCATTTTACTTGTATACATGTTAGTCACGATATGGCTGAAATATTGCCGATGTGACTTAAAATCTTAACTCACTCACTTGTATACATGTAGTTGTAATGTAGCATTTAAAATGAAAATGTCATTGATGATTGTGTGTTATCAGGTCCCAATTTTTCGAAACAAACTAAGTCTGAGTCTTGACTTAAGTCAGAGTTTTTACTCAAATTTGAGAAAACGCAGGAAAATGCATTCCCAGAATAAACTGAAATCAATATTAAACTCAAACTTAGTAGACAATTTGAGTTTGGTGGATAGATCACTGAGTTGTTTGGGCTTTTTTTATTTCAAGATGCAGTTGAGTTAAAAATTCAGCTGTTTCAAATTGTCAAACTCAGTTTGAAATTTGAGTAAAAACTAAAATTTGTTTCGAGAAATCGGGGCCAGTTCTGATAAGAACAGGACATGACTTGAGTTGTTATTTCCAGCAATGATAAAACAGGATCCGTTAAGCAAGCAGTTGATGATAGATGACAACCCAACCACGGAGTGGAACTGTCACCAACTTGGTTACCTAGCAGCACTTGTTGCCATAGTAACCAAACTCACCCAGTGGCCTGTTGAACGATCAAAGACAGTCCAGAAATTAGATCCATCAGACTTGACAGATGATGAAAACCTGAGGTGAGGTCATGTCTGAATTTACTTCAGGCTGTAAACTCTTCAACTGTTAAGGATGCATTACACACTACCAGTACATTCCTGGAAAAAAAATAAAGCAGTGTTAATTCCATCTGTTTTCATTATAAGGCAAGAACCATGACGTATTTGCCGAAGCTGGCTGCGTGTTTCAAGAATATTACATTTTTACATCAACAGTTTGTACCATAAACGGTAGTTAGTTTGCTTCCTTGTCTTCTTATTTCATGGACATCTGCATTTCTTGAATGACTCCATTTTCTTGTAACAGTCTAATGGGCTTGCATGCTTGGTAACTAAAATGGACATTCTTTTGATATTGTTTTCATATTAGATAATTCAGCTTGTGTAACAGAATTAATCTGTATAGAGGATCGGGTTCTGATAGCAAAATATTTTCATTTCAGAAACAAACTCAAAGGTGTAAATCGACAGATTACAGCAGAAGTTTGGACAACTTGTGGCCGTCAAGTTGCTGTTCTTCTATCCAAATTCGCAGAAAAAGTTCAAATTCGATGCAATCCCTTGTCAGCCCGTCCCGGGTCCCGGCAATCCATGCGATGTCCTTCACCCATGTCGGGTCGGAGGAGCAAGACTCCTCGAGGTGACATCCTGAGTGATTCGGAAATCAACCTCGTGAAAAGTCTCTTGGAATTTTTCCTGTTCATTTCAGTGGCTACATGCACAAACAAGAAATTCATAAAAAACACTGACATTGTTGTTGAGAAACCAGAAAGAGAGTCTGTTCAGCGTTCTAGGGAAGGATTGTGGGTAATGGAGAATCCCCACCTTACACATAGTATAGAACGACAGTCGATGACGGATACAATGGAGGTGGTGGAGAGAAGACAGCAGGAGCTGGCAGAGAAAGAAGCCAGTGCAGATCGGAGGTTGCTACGGAAAGGCCTGTACGAAGAAGACCTCTTCAGATTTGTCTCTCCGTTTGTTACTTTTGAGAATGAAGATTTGAGGGTGAGTCTACTTGAAAATGGAGACATCTAAATATGTATCTGCCCTTTGGATGATGGGATAGCTTTGCGGTTAAAACGTCTGCTCAACACACCAAAATTTTCAATTCTTCACATGAGTGTTCTCTGTAACCCATTTCTGGTGTCCCCTGTGGAGATGTTGTTGAAGGCTGGAAGCTATTTTCAACCATACTGACTCACACTCCAAAACTTTGAATGTTTGATATCAGCAATATAATTACTTTGATATTGAGAGGGTATGATATGGGTTACCGATGCATGTCTTTAGTTTCTAGAAATAACTCAACTTGTCCAGTATTTCTTCAAGCAGATTCCAACATGATGTTTTGAACCTGTTAGCTGGGTTAACACTTAACACATAGACACCATGTGGGAACTGAACATGGGCCTTCAGAATGAACAAATGCACTAAGCACTAGGCTAATTTTCCACCCCATACCCAAGTATGATTGCATATGTGTTTAGCTGAAAGAGATGATTATTGGATCCAAGTGTCTCCCTGACTGTAATATATCCAGGCAACATGATGCTCATACTATCATCCACTTGGTGTATCTTCTAGCTAAGTCTGTGTCAAAACTGAATAGTATTGGCTATGAAACATCCTTTTTTCACTACATGTTTTTATAGTCGGTGTTATTGTTACCCTCCAGGAGACAGCGGCCATGATCTTGAGGTGTGGTATTCAGCCTCTAGATGAAAAGCTAGTGACCTCAGACCTCCAGACATCAAACACTGGAACTGCGAATGTCTACAAGCCTAGGCTCAGGTCAGACATACAGTACTTTGTAACATTGTATGAGAAAACTGACCATAAGTCCTTTTGGAACAGATTGTATATCCCACCAGTTGTAAAAAGGGGCTTATAGCCATGGTGTACTGAACTGTTTGACTGTACCTTTGTATTCACTGATGTATTGACTGTACCTGTGCATTGACTAGTGTGTTGAACTATTGTTTTACTGTTTTGCTACAGACCACAGTCTGCCAAGACGCACAAGGAGCGTGACAGGAAGGTGAACATTGCACTGTACAGAATGTCCCCTGATGTGTCAGGGATGATGAGGACAGCCATAGGGTCTCGACCCTCGTCAGCTGATACGTACAGTAAGTACAACTTGTACATGTACTCGTACAATATACAAAAAAACTTATCTGTAGGAAATACCCCTCTTCTTTCATTATCCTGTATAACTATATTGTTTAGGAATCACCTATCTAGGATTTTTGTAAATATTGTCATAAATTTCAAAAGTTTCAAATTACATTTGACCATCATGTCAGTCAAGGATATGGATCTAATACAGATACTGAGAAGGTTTATCTTGTATTTTTATTTCTATAGTTTACAAATACTTCTAAATCTGCCGATTATTTTACTGATGAATAATCATAGTATGTCTGATTCTGACAGACTGTATTCTTGTACGTGATTTAGATGTGAGTCAAAGGAACAGATCAGTTTCTAAGTTTGGTCGTGGTCAGCCGACAATTGACCTGACCCAGCCGATTGCCCAGCAGTGTCGGAAGGTGACAGTGGACAACTGTGGCAGTCAACTCCTGCAAGGACTGTTCAGCAAGTCTCGAGATGTGCGGAAGAGTTGTCTCCTCTTGATCCATGACCTTGTCAATCATGGAAATGTAAGTCTTCCTGTTAATAACCTCCCACATTCAAACATCACAACCAGCATGAAAACATTTCATGTCAGCTTGTAGACAAGAACTAACTTACATACCATGCTTTTTGAAAAAGGAAATGAACGGACAAATATTGATCAAACATTTTTTAATACCTTTAACTAAATGAATAACAGGCTACAACTCCTATGTTTTTGTATGCAGCTGTCGGAGCCAGGCAGTATCCCTGCATCATATACTAAGCTAAAGAAATTAAGGACCATCCCATTCTTTCATGGTATTACAGTTAATTTGTCATGGCAGATATATGAAAGAATAATGTTGTGCTTGACTTCTGAGTGGATATTGTTGAATGCCCTGTTGATGTAGTATGTATCATGGTCAGGTGGAAACTCACATGCAGCTGTCGGAGCTGGGGTGTATCCCTCGCCTTATTGACTTCCTGCGCATCAACGAAGACGACGAGATGCTGGAGATTATTGGTGAGACTTTATGATTGCTGTGTGATGCTGTTGATTTAGCTAGACCATAGAGGAGTCCGGCCTAGAGGTCCGGCCTGCCGGATATGAGTAGATCAACACAAGATAATGGAGATCTTGAAACAAGTAACTGTCACTATGAGCTATGAGTGTACACCCCCAAAAAGCTCACACCTTCATCAAAACTCTTAAGCTGAGAAAATTCATGTTGTGAAGTATCAAACTTGTAATTTACAAAAACCATACAGTTATCATACACTGACGTCTACTGACAGCTATCATCTTGGCGAGGATGCTGATTACTAGCGACTATCATTAGCCTGAAGCAGCTGTTCAATGCCACGGTGGGGCCAACCTGCTGCTGTCCATGTCACAGAACTGCAGTGGGGTGCTGAAAGAGGAGATCAAATCTACCTTGACAGCTCTCACACAAGGTGGGTATAGGTGTGGGGTTAAGTATGTCCATAGCCAGGTACTGCAACAGGGTGTTGAGAGAGTAGAAGTTCACACTGGTGGTGGTGTGGGGTGAAGGAAAGAAACTGGTTATTGTACCTATCATGTATTTACTGATTCCTATAAGTGATGGATACCAGTAAGGATGTTTTTGAGCATACATGTGACAAACAATATACCAAATTATTTGAAGTATCAGTTAACACTCCCCTACTTTATCAAGATCAAAATGTTTCAGACCCTACATGCTTTGAATCATATTTTCTTATATATCTGATTAATGTGGTAACTCTGTGTATGTAACAGGCATGTCCCGTCAGAGACCAAGCTCAGCACCAGCTCAACGTCCTGGTGAAGGGAAGGAGCCCGACATCTGGGATAATGTGAGTACACAGGGGATACACTGCAGGACACCTATAACAGTCACTGCTTTGCTCAGCATTACTGAAAATCACTATTTGTTCTTAGAATGTTATAGACCAAATGATAATTGACGATTGTGTTGTTTATATTTGGTAAAAAAACTGTGGCATAGGATCTCAGTTACATAGTGTTATATTACAAGTCAAGACAGCATAAGTCAAGACAAATACATGTACACTGACACCTCCCTGCACAGTGCTGTATTAATAACCCTGAATGAGACATTGAACCATACATTAACTCAACTCTTTTATAAAAGACTAGCTGTGATATGTTTGGGTTGGAATAGGTCCTGAGAACCCAATGATTTACAGTTGGCCATGGTAAAGATGGCTGATTGTGTCATAATACAACATCACTGTTATAGTATTTATACAGCAGGTTACCTACAATGTATGTTTTATGGTGTATCTGCAAGATAAGTGAACACATGACTGTCCTTTGCCATCATTTTAAAAGGTTATGTTTGTGGTATTAGTATTAGGCTGTATTAGAAAATTATTACTAAATTATTTTCCAATAGTGATGATGGAGGAACAATTTTCTATATTTGCACTGTACTCTGTAATACAATGTTTGTTGTAAAGCACTGGTAACAACTTAACTCTACCTGACCTGAAGGTGTGTTGTGGTAGTGGTGGTGTGATGGTGTACCTCGTGTTTCAGATAATGGAGAGGTGGCATTACGAGGACAAGGTGGTGCAAGTCTTTCAGAAGTGGATGTAGAGGATGAAGAATCTCATTGTTGACTTGACTGTTTGGTTTAACCAGTTGCCTTGGCAATACAACTCTTTACACTGCAACCACTGATTGTCAATATTTTTTGTGTTTATAATAGCTGCTGAGACCAAATTGTGAACTTCCAATATAAAATTTTATTACCCATTCATTATATGTTAAATTTCCTAAAATATATGTCAGTTGTCTGTGATTTTGTTAACTTTATATGATCTTTTATAGTTATTTATATATACAGCATTATTAACACATGCTGTTTGGTACATTCTGTTTGACAAGGATTACCATCTCAACATTAGCATCTGTTACAAGAATGCTAAACCATCTGCATCCCTATTGAAACCACACCTCATCAGAAATGTGCACTAACATACTCCCACCAAACATTCATGGGAATCCACTTTGTTGACACTTCATATACACAGGTGTCTTGAACAGTTTGTTTTGAGAAAATAATTAGACAAAATAAAGTGCCTCCTGTATCACTTTTAAGGAAAGTTTGTCTGAAAGCTAATAGTTAATTTATTGCAGCCTAGTGGTTTAGAAATGTCCCAAATAGAAATGGATTTTAATAGAAGAAATGAATAATGTCTCATTTAAATAAAAATCTTATAAGAAAGAATTGTTAAAGAAATACGCTAATATTTTGTTAGTGTGTATAACTGTGATATTTCCTCTGAAGTCATAAGATGAAGAATACTTACACTTTCAGGACTGACTATTGGGGTCATCAAAAGGTGATCTGAGTTTTACCATGTTGAAAATACATGCAAGTATTACCCCAATTTCAGTGATATAATTGATGCTTTACTTCATAATGATACATTTTCATGTGAAACACATGGATAGATTTTGTCATATTTGTTTGACTATTTGTGGCCTAAGAGACTTACTGTCAAAACAATAACAAACATGTATGAGAAAGTTTAGAATCTTGTTGTTTTTCTACAAGTCAACTACAGATATAATGAAGATTTAGTGTGCTGTGCACACATTTAACAGGTCCAGTATACGCAAATTTAGTGTAGATTGTTATCAATGTGATACTCTGTGATTGTGATATATAAGATCTGCTGATCTTGTTACTATTGATTCTTACAATTGTTGATCTCAACACATAGTGGTAGTTTACAAAGTTTAGAGTCTTTACTCCAGTGTTATCAACCTAAGAACAGATTGCTTTGATGTTGATATTCTATTGTTGTTGTTCTTCCTTTTACATTTTAGCTTTAAGACTAACTTGTTATGACATAGTGGCTTGTTTTTATTATAGTTCTATTTTTACAAATCCTTGTATGTTTAGTTCCTATTGGAACCAGTTGGTGATTTATGATTGAATGTGAATTCTGCAAATATTGATCTTATGCAAACCTTTGATTGTCAATAGTCTTGCCTAAATAAACTGTGCCTTAGTCATTTTGAAATATTATATACAAGATACAGAGAGGAAGTCCCAGTTTTACCCACATATCTGTTTTTATGTTGATTTAGAGGAGATCTTCATCAATCCTTGTGACTAGACTGCTATCAATCATTTATTGGTCATTTATTGGATGACAGAAATGTGGCAGAGATGTTATATTCATGAAAACTCAACAGCACCTCTTCTAGATCACTCCCAATACAAGTGATTGTCAAGTTTTATCATATCCCTCCCCAAGGATAGATTAAAATCATGCCAATATGTTACTATTTAAGAACTTCCCATTCTTTCACAGCCCTCCTGGGTCTGTCTTGTTTGTTTATGTCTGCGTCAGTAATATGTATCTATATATGTTATATATATTATACAAGTTTAATACAATTTCAGCTAGCAGTAAAGGGATTTGTAAAGACACTTGTCCATGATAGGGGCAGGAGCTTTTGTGTCCTGTTTGGTCACTAGTCTTAGGCATTACATGTGAAATTTACTGCATTAGTTTGCGATAAAGAAAGTGATGGTGGTGTTGAAGCAGGTGACATTTGATATTTCAGGATTGTATGGTTTAAATCAGGAAACAGGAAACAGATCCAGACAATTGTAAATCTTTATGCCAACGGTTTTCTTACCACTGTTTTTGTCCCTGGTTAGAAAGAAGAGATTGAAAGGGTAAACTGAGGATTATAATGAGAACTTCAGAAATACTGATTGTCATTTTATCATTTTGAATCAGTATGACTGGAGAGAACTGTTAAACCATTTGTTGTTCTAAACAAGTAATATATATATTGGTCATGTTGTCACAGTATATCCAAAATACTGAAACTGTTTAAACAAAACATTGTTACTTTTTTTCTTTGACTGAAACTTCAGCCAGTACAGTGATGAATTATGTCATAATGTTTTTTTTGAAAACTTAAGATATTGTTATGAAAACATTCAACCACAAGCACTTGACATTGCTCAAATTCCACATGTCTTAATTTTATGTACTTACCGGTTAAACAGAAATAAATAATGTTAGATTCATCAGATACACCTGTATGTGTTATGTGTCTCAAGAACCATGGAATCCAGGAGTCCTCCACGGCAGACAAGGCTTCGCTGTTTTGCAAAAGACAGAGATGATAGTGCATAGGGGAAGGTCTGAGCTGTGGAGTGTATAATATAACTGTTTAACCCCACAGTTCCAAATAGCAGCTTGTGCAACTCTGCGAACAGAAGCACTAGCATGGAACAGCAGTTGTTGGATATTTTAATTGCACTGGTTCAGTTTTTATCTCCAAATCCCAGTGATGACCCTTCCCACTTTTTTTCAGCCTAGAGTTCAAGGAGCTCTTGACTGCACCCCATCCTTGCAGTGAGTGAGCGAGTTGGGTTTTATGCCACTTTTATCAATATTTCAGCAATATCACGGCAGGGGACACCAGAAATGGGCTTCACATATTCTGCCCATGTGGGGAATCGAACCCGGGCCTTCAGTGTGACAAGCGAACACTATAACCACTAGGCTACCCCACTACCTTCCATCCTTGCAATATCTTGCAGATAACTGTTCTTGGGTGCCCATATTGCTGATACCACAGACGCCCCAAGGTGATGCTGAATTATGTTTTCCAATACTGATCGTTGAAACCTCAATTGCCAAGATTAACACAGCTCTTTTCGACTTGTGCTAGACCAGATGTGGATCTGGTGGACAAAATGTATGGAAGGTATTTGACAAACACACATTATGTATTTATTTATTTGTGTCATCAAATTACAATACAAAAGTACAAAAATACTTTAACATATTCAAATACACATACTTGTGTATAAACAGCACTGAACAATACAAACAATATTACACATCATGGTATACATTTCAATTAAATGATGAAAGTTAAAACAATCACAAGTTCAGTGAGCACTTCCTTAGTCAAGCGTGTCCAGACTGGACTAGACTTTGATGTGTACCAGTGGACCCTCTGGCCTTGTGATGACCTTCAGTGAGGTGATAATGTCATGTTAGCAACAGTGCAAGATTATTAAATACTGATGGGTAAAAAATAAGGGAACACACAGCATACCAGAGGCATAAATGCATCAACATTGTTCATATCTTCAAATAAACAGAGTAAAACAGGAATGTCTTCATCCTTTCATTGTAAAACATTTTGGGGTCATTTTCAGGAAAGCTTGCGACATGCACATTGTGTGAATGGACATGAAGTGAAATGTGAAACTTAGGTCACAACACATTTATCATTTGTTCGCAGACAAAATATCTAATCTTTGTTTGAAAAGACTGAATGACTGTGCTTCTACTACCCTTGTATCAATATTCCAGCAATACCAAAGCAGGGGTAACCAGAATTAGGCTTCATATATTGTACCCATATGTGAAATCAAACTCAACCTATGATGTGGTAAGCTAACACTAGGCTAACAATAGACTACCCCATTGCCCCTTTTTCATCTAACAAATAGTCTCTGTGACTAGCAGTCATTATTATGGGCTGACATCAGGGTTCCAAATTATCATATGACCCCTAGTCCTACAGCAGTAAAATGAGCTTGTGGAATACCACTTGTACCATTAAATAGATGATGGTTAATGTAAATAACTAGGCTTATAATGACGGGAAGACCAACCACTATCCATGCATCATGTTATGTACGTGTATACCTTGAATCTAGAGTTGTTTCCCATTCATGTTTGCTTGTTAATATGTTTTTGTTTTCAGATGACATCACACATGAGTGATAGCCCAGTATAGCTTTGTGACTATTGATGTTACGCTTTATTCATCGTTATTAAGTTACCCGTATGTCCACTCACGAGGAGTTTTGAACATGTCACACTGTGTGCCATATGTTAGGATTAATGTAATATTACACCAATACTGAGTGTGGTGTGGTATCATTTGTCAAATTACAATGTATTGTTGCTACGCTAATATATTTCTTGGTTTACACAGCAAAGGTTCGGTTTTTTTACACTCCATTTCCGATTTAGAACCAGGCCTTAGTTTGATGTATTTTTTTTTTTCTGTTCATACGCAGTAGTTGATAACCTGCTTTCAGGTCATACACAGTAGTTGATGATCTGCTTTCAGGTCATACACAGTAGTTGATAATCTGCTTTCAGTTCATACACAGTAGTTGATAATCTGCTTTCAGGTCATACACAGTAGTTGATGATCTGCTTTCAGGTCATACACAGTAGTTGATGATCTGCTTTCAGTTCATACACAGTAGTTGATAACCTGCTTTCAGGTCATACACAGTAGTTGATAATCTGCTTTCAGGTCATACACAGTAGTTGATGATCTGCTTTCAGGTCATACACAGTAGTTGATAATCTGCTTTCAGGTCATACACAGTAGTTGATAATCTGCTTTCAGTTCATACACAGTAGTTGATAACCTGCTTTCAGGTCATACACAGTAGTTGATAACCTGCTTTCAGGTCATACGCAGTTGCAATGTTATTGTCCCACCATGTTGGTATGTTTTGTGAGTGGAGAATTTGCGAAGAATTTGATATCACTACATCAAGGCTACAGCTTCCTGTCATAGTAAGAATGTTTTGAATGATCCATCATGCCTCCTGCCACCAGAGAAAACTAACAAGGCATTCAAGTACTACCAGAAGCCAATCCTCACATTACCAGATGTGTTCAATTGAAGAATTTGTTACGCGAACATTACTAGTGACAACCGACCTTTTCATTATTCCCAATTTCAAAATTGGTCCATAGAATAATGATCTATAGTCAGCAAATTTTCGGAATAGGACCGCCTCAAGGACTATCAAGGAAACAGTACAAAGAACTGTACACCATCAATGTGGCAAATCCAAGTGCTGGACCAAGTGCGGAAGAAGTTGCAAATGACAATCAAACGGATATGACTACTTTACTGACTACTGTACAACAGCTACATCAACAGGTAGCCAGCTTGGCTGAGGAAGTGGTGAATAGACATTCTAACCTGTCACAAGTCATACAACCTCCGCAAGACAATGTGCACATTCATCAGGACAGTGTTTCAGAAATACCTCAGACTCAGACAAGGAATACACTATGTTCAGCCACACGACCCCTTGTCAACAAGAGGAAACCTCCCTACCCAGATCAACAACACCCTGCTAGGTGTGATCAATACCAGGTTGAAGGTCATTCAGTGCACTAGGTCATTAGAATCTACATTCTGGCAGTACAGTAGACTGTGGAAATAAGGCGGCTGAATCAGCAGGCTAGAAAAGCTGAAAGCATAGATTTTCCAGAATCCATCCTAGATGAAGAGAAGGCCTTTTCTCAAGATGATGAAAAGTTCCTGAATATGGTTGATGAGACAAATGAGTTCAATGATGGACACAACTATATTGATCTGCCATTCCGCCAGGACAATGTCAGCATACCTGATAATCACCAACATGCGCTTCAACGCTTCAAGAAGATGAAAGAAAAGACGAATAGAAATCCTCAGTTTGCCGCAGACTATGATGATTTTATGAGTTAGATGATTAGCAAGAGTTAGTGCCAGAAGAAGAGTCTGTAGTGGAAGTTGGTAAAACATGGTACATACCACATCACAGTGTCTACAACCAAAGCAAGCCAGGTAAAATATGTGTTGTGTTAGACTATGCTGCTATGTTTCAGGGGGTGCCTTTGAACGGTCAGCTGCTGAGCGGTCTGAATCTGACCAACAGTTTACTAGGAGTCTTAATGCACTTTCACCAGAGAGGAACCTACACGTGCAATCCATGGAGGTAGATCACTTTAGGCCCCGCCCCAGATGTTTTTTATGCAAGAAAGTAGGGCATGTTGCACGTGATTGTAAATCATAACAACATGTCAATACTGTTTCTGGCCATGCTGGTTCTGGAAATCATACAGAATCAAGAACCTTTTGGTTCTGCAATAAACAGCGACATTTGAAGAGAATGTCGTAAAGATTTAAACCAGATTAACTACCTCATCGTGAAGCCCATTAGGAAGATAATATCTGCTCAATTTAATTTAGCAGGCAGACCAAATTCATGTACAGTTAAAATTGGAAAACATAAATTTAGATGCTTGGTAGATTCAGGTGCAGAAGTTTCTACAATGCATAGGAGAGGTGCCACCTTAGAGCATACTTTTGTTGTAGTTAATAATGTTAACAGGACTGAAGCTGGAGTATGTGTATACTTTGACCTGGGAAGCATGAGAGTTGGACAGACCTCCATACCATTGGAGGAGGACATCCATGTGTCATCTGTTGTTCGACTGGCAGGTGATATGACAATCAAACCGCAGAGTCGAACAGTGTCCTATTGCAATTGATAGTGTGTTTCAGAGTGGAAAGTTGAAGTAGTCAGGCGGTAGTCAGAAGAGTTCAGCTTCTCTGGCTATGTTATCCAGATTATTTGAGGAACAGAAGAAAGCAGAATCAAAGGCAAAGGCTGCAAGTCTAAAAGAAGTTTAGAAGCTTGAGATAAGCAAGTTAGAGTTGAAAATGGAGGAAATGGAGTTAGAAATAAAGACTGAGCTTGCTATTGAGGAGGTGAAGACAAAAGTAATCGACGACTTTGAGAGATCGTTACAAGTCAAGCTGTACATATCTTCTGTGAAAACGTCGGCTGTGAAATCTCACATGCAAAGGATCTAAGATCAAAGTAATATGGTTAATGACAACACACCTGTAGGAATGCCTCAGTATGGACCAATGTTAGACTATGGGTTTGTTACACGACATTTGAAGAAACTGCATGATGTCATTAAGCCTTTCAGTGGAGATCCCATTGACTATGAGACAGTTAAAAAGCTGCATTCTTCTCAATACAGATGACATAGATTAGATTCCACCAACATAAACAGAACCTCTGTGAGATGTGCGCATGCATAAAATGATCAGCTGGCACTCTGCTTAGAATGGTCAGCAACTAATTAACGAAGCTCTGAAGCTCTCAAGTTTTTCGCATCAAGTTTGGACTATGGATACTAACAACCTACTGCTTTATGTGTCTTGAATAGAATGTTTCTTTGAACCGTTGACGAACACAGTTAATGACCAAAGAGTGGACACAATATGGCAACACCTGCTAAAGACAATGGGGTGACGGGGCACAGCTCTACCCATATGACAAAGCCTAACATAGTTGGCACTAACAGACCTTGATTTTTTGAAGGGGTCAAAAATCTGTCAAAACAGTTGTTGGGTAAATCAAGACCTAAGTCTAACACCAAATGGACTCACAAATGGAGAAGGAATACCCAGAGGGTTGTTGTAGTAATGTAGTAATGTAACTATTAACGTGACCAAATTGACACGTAACGCTCCCTTAACTACCGGAGGGAAACAACTGCTCCCTGTGCACCCCAATGCATGATGGGACCATTACATCATCGGGCTACGTGCTTCCCGTCCAAGTTTGTATGCTTCAGCCGACCGAAATAAAGCCGCTGTTCTCCAAATCGTGTCGTGTGCTTTTGGAAGAATGTTAGTCACGATACCACATTTTGGCGACGAGGATACAAGGTTATAAGGCTGTGGAATTTCGCATCCAGGTGCGAGAAAAACTCATCAGGAAATCCTCCGGGACCCTGATTGAAGAGAACGGAAAGCGCGTAAGTGAAAATCAAACAAAATGGCGGCGTTTGGAAAAACAGAGGAATTTGATCCCGATAGTGACGATTGGGGTGAATATACTGTGAGATTGGGACATTATTTTACTGCAAATAGTATTGAAGATGCAGGAAAGCAAAGAGCAATTCTTTTGAGTGTGATTGGAAGTAAACCTTATAAACTTTTGAGGAATCTGACCATACCATCGAAACCGGGCAATCTCTTACAAGGCAATAGTCAAGTTAATGAAGAATCACATTAGTCCAAAGCGAACTGTCATGGTGGAGCGGCGACGCTTCAATATGACAGACAGACTGTAGAATGAGAGTGTTTCGGCTTTCGTAACGGGACTGAGGCACCTTGTGTCGACATGTGATTATCCAGAATTTGGATGTTGCCACGGATACGGACTTTACCGCCATACAACCGGGCACCACGGCAATAAGCTGCCCGTCAAGGCTTCCTCACATTGACGTTGCTAATCCGCCGCTTATACCGGTTTTCCCGGATGTCTCGGATTTGGATACACAGGGATTCTTTTTCAGAGAGATCGTCTTTGGGGTACATATATGCATTTTCTGCCACTGAAAATGTCCTGTGACAGTTGTATCAATGTTTTAATAAAAATTATACAATAAATAAAAATTATCGGCCCCCACCACGTGGAGTTACCTCCCTGCTACACATGCGCAGCCAACCAGGTAAGCACCTAGGCCCATATCATCATTCCTTCTGCTGTCACTCAAAGCGTTCACACGTGTTCGAGTAGCCTAGCTGAATTACTTCTCTTGAGAGATAAAGAAGAATGTCTGAGACTCCAACAACTGTATGTATGGTCTTTGTTCGCTCTTGACAGACAGTTTTATTGACTTTGCAGTGTGTTATTTCTCATTTTTGTGACTTTGTATTAAACTTTACGCTAGCTGTCCCGTGGTTTACGCACGTGTTGCTTTTCCATGGTGGGAAGTTTAGCGTGCCACGTGGTTGTCATATTGTGTTATTAACCAAGTATTTCTTCCCGTGGTCGCATTCACGTAATTTTCAATGTTTTGTACGTGTATATTTATGCTGCTGGTTCCGCTGTTAGCTACATGCTTGCGTGTTTGCTTTCAGGCATTTACTGGGTTTTCTGTCTGCGGGCAGAACATTCCGCAAGCTGATAAGCACGATAAGTGCTTGTGCTGCCTTGAAAAGGTGGGACATAACCCTGATGTTTGTGAGCTTTGTATGGCCTTTTCTCCCCAGGCCCAGAAACGAAGGGCGGTGGATTTCCTGTTCTACAAGGAATTGCAAGAGGCGGGAGGGGAACTTACCCAGGAGGTCCCCCCGTCAAAACCTAAAAAGTCCAAACCGACTAAAAAAGGCATAAGGCGCCTCCCCAGTCATCCCACGGTGGTTTCGATATGTCACTAATAACCCAATTATCCAGCAGCTTATGGACTCCGTGAAGTCCCTTGTTCATGAGTCCGTTGGAGGTCTCCATCAGGAGTTCCTCACCCACTCTCAGCAGGGGACTGAGAGTCCGGGGATGGGATCGCCGAGCCCGGCTCGATCCCTTAGCCTGGAGGTGTCTGTCGATCCTTTGCCTTTGGCTTCGGGTCCAGACACCTCGGCTATCCCAGAGGGGGAGGGTTCACTCCCAGTCCCCCTCTCGGTGCTGGCGCAGGGTCCGTTGAGGATTCCTGGGGTTCCGTTCCCTGTGACGCCCCGCCCCATGAGAGCGGAGGAGTCGTCTCTGCCCGGTCTTCCTCCCGTGTCTCAGGACCGGGGTTCAAGTGGTGAGTCAGTTGCCGAAGCAGGGAGTTCCTTCGGCTCTTCCCTCGGTGTCTGGGGCTCGGATCCTCTTCACGAGGAGACCCCAATCCTGACTCGGGCTCGGGTGCCGAGTCTATGGACGTTGGGGAGGTCAAGGAGCCGGAGGGCACTTTCCACTTCTCCTCGTCGGCTCTACGGGAGGTGCGGCAGTGTATTGCCTATAATTTAACGACTTTAATCAACAAATATGTCTGTCATAAGTGGATGTACAGATAAAGAAACTTTACAAGACACTGAAGACATGCAAAAAATTGAAATAATATCCAAGCTCCGGAAGGAGAGAGGAGGAATTGTGTCATACTTTTGCAAAATAGAGAAGGGAATAAGACTGATGATACAAGAGGGCAACCCAAGTGCAGTTTCTCTTGAAGAACTAGAACTTATGAAAGAAACATTAGACAGAATTGTTGTGAAGTCTATGCAGTTGAAGGAATTAGTTGTCCATGATCCAGTGGAATTCAAGCAAGTTGATGAATATTATAATGCCCTCAAGGATAGATATAGTAAATTAGCAGCAGAAATTAGGGATTTATGGTCAAAGACAGTTAGGAGATTAAACCCGAAGATTCTGCAAGTCAGGTCAGCGTGAAGTCAGTAGCATCACATGTGAAGGTGGCCGAGACTAGGGCAGCAGCGCTTCGTGTGAGAGCCGAGGCTCTAAAGAAACAACAGTCACTGAAGCGTCAGGTGATGGAACTGCAACTGCAAGAGGAAGCCCTTAAGTTAGAAACAGAGATCGCCGCTGCTGAGGCAGACACCAGCGCTTTGAGTGATAACGGGAGTACAGTTAAGAGGCCTCTTCCAGCTACATCCATGCTGAACCCCAGGACTGAAGAGTTTCAGCTGAAATCAGATACTCTTCCAAGTCACCTGATCAAACCAGAGAGAGAGCGTAAACAGGAACTTACACAGTCACTAGTGTCTGAGAGTAGCAAGGAGATTCTGAACATGATTCATCTCCCTAGAGCAGAGCTGATTAAATTTGATGGTGATCCACTCAAGTATTGGATTTTCGTCCGTTCCTTTGACAATAGCATTGGATCAACTTCAATAAGTGACACTGCCAAACTCACAAGACTCCTACAGTATTGCAGTGGCAAAGCACTTTTGGTCATAGAGTGTTGTGCTGTTAAACCAAGACTATGGTTATAAGGAGGCAAGAAGAATTCTGCAGGAGCGATTCGGCAACTAGTTTGTTATTTCGCGTGTGTGGATTCAAGAGTCACTGAGAGACCAGTACTGAGGAATGGAGACAATGCAGCCTTGCGTCAGTATGCAGACTCGGTGAAAAGCTGTATAGTCACTTATCAGCCATGGGGAGACTCACAGAGGTTGATAACCAAGACAGGATAAGGAAGATGACAGAAAACCGATCAATCTACAGAACAGATTGAGAAATCAAGCAGTCAGCCATCTCAGGACACACAGACATTACCCAAACATTCATGAATTTGCTCAATTCATTGAGATGGTTGCCGATGAGGCTAACGACCCAGTCTTCGGGAATATTCGCTTTGACAACAAAGAGAGACCATCTAAGGACACGATAGCAAGGGAAGAGCCTTACAAACTGTCATGAAGTACAGAAACACTAAGTCAAGTTGCAAGTTATGCTCTGGAGATCATGCCATCTACATGTGCAACACATTTAGACAAATGAATTCTGAAGATAGACTGAAATTCATGCAAGAAGAAAAATTATGAGCAGAGCAGTCCATATCGAGAAATTGGATTCAATGAGTACAGACTCCTTCATCGACACACTTCGGCGATTTGTGAGTCGCAGAGGCAAACCAGAGAAATTTAGGACTGATAACGGGTCTAATTTCAAGGGAGCTTGCAGAAAGCTCAAAGAGGCAATTCAAGCATGGAACTTGAAACAAGTTGATGATTTTCTGACTAGGAAAGACATTCAGTGGGAGTTTAACCCTCCTACAGCATCCCATATGGGCTGTGTATGGGAGCGGCAGATAAGGACTGTGCACAAAGTGTTGAATGGACAGTTATGCAGGGAAAAAGGACTGTCTGATGAGTGTCTTCATACACTTTTCTGTGAGGTTGAAGCAATAATCAATAGCAGACCAATCACCGTTGTATCGGACAATGTGCGGGATGCAGAAGCTCTCACACCTAACCACTTGCTTCTATTGCGGCAAGGCGGGTTGATGCCTCCAGGTGACTTTCATCCTCAAGATGTGTACAGACAACGATGGAGGCATGTACAATTCCTGTCCGATGTTTTCTGGAAACGTTGGGTCCGGGAATATCTTCCAACCTTGCAGCTTAGACAGAAGTGGTTGAAACCTACATATAATCTCTGTGTGGGTGATATTGTTCTCATTATGGATGAGAATACACCGAGAAAATTGTGGCCACTTGCATGTGTGGAAAAGACATTCCCAGGTAGAGATGGACTGGTGCGGTCAGTGCTTGTGAGATCAAGGGGGACAATCCTTACCAGACCCATCCATAAACTCTGCCTTCTGGAGTCAGTGACACTATGACTGACCAAATGTCAAATGAGTGACTTCTCATAAAGCAAATCAGTAAATGTGATTGTGTGACTACTGTAACTTTAGAGGAGTATATCATTGAAAGTATTAACTTTGAGTTCATTTAAGAGAAATATTCATAATCACAGTATATTATATTTTGTATACAATCATGGTATTCACCTGTGAGGTTGTTTGGTTATTACATTTCTTTTATTTGTTTAGGTCATTTTATTCAAGTAATATTCTTTGGTTAAGAGTATATTTAGGTTTTTTGAGGTACATGTTTGTTATAAAGGAAAACTACACATTTATGGGGCCGGTGTGTAAAGATTTATTTGCTTTGATTATTCATAATCAGAGAGAGTCGTCCTTGGGGTAGGGCCACCCACCTCCCCGCAATTCTGTTCACTGATTTTTTCAGCAGAAGGAATGATGATACGGGCCTAGGTGCTTACCTGGTTGGCTGCGCATGCGTTGCAGGGAGGTAACTCCACGTGGTGGGGGCCGTATAATAAATAAAAAGATTTTTATTTATTGTACAATATTTTTATTAAAACATTGATACAACTGTCACATGACATTTTCAGCCGCAGAAAATGCATATATGTACCCATGGACGACTCTCTTCAAAGAATTGGAAACCTCTGCAGGTTTAGTTAATTCTTTTTCAAAAAGGTCGTCCTTGGGGTACATATATGCATTAACTCAGACTCCCAAAGACCGGAGGCCAGGGAGGAGGGAATTCTGTAAAAGTACACATGAATAGCGATCGTTAGGAAGAATGTAACAGACACCACAACACTCATCTGTGACGTGTCCCGTGTATTTGTCATAATAAGGTGGTAAGTGTTTTGTTACTTAGATGAAATAAATAAACCATCACATACATCTATTCTTCGTCATCATTTTTATTCAAATATTGAAAAAATATCTTATTAAAAACAAAAGTAGTATGTATAAAGTATACATTGTACAGATGTATAACCTTTTACTATCATACACTTAAAAAGAAGTAATTATTATTTTGTTAAGGGACCCTTTTAACTAGGGGTCTACAGCCCTTTTGACTTCCTGATGCGGCCCTTTTGACTTCCTGATGGGGCCCTTTAGTCTTGCGGCCCTTTTTGACCTGTTCTGATGTACATTTACTTAGTGGGAATGATGTTCCCACAGCCTTGGAACCATTACAGGTAATTGAGAGAACTCTTCTCGGATAACAGTAAGTGGACCCATGAACAATTGTGATTGTGCAGACAGTGAGGAGTGTTCCAAAGAATCTCAGTTTTCTGAAGACGCGTGTCAACACAGACTTGCAGAAACAACTTACAGATCAGTTTAATTATGACTTCAGTGAGAAAGAGGTGACAACAAACCCGAGATGTCAATAGAAGATGACAGAGAGTCAGTGGTGTGAAATGTTTTGAGGAAAGATTATGAGTTACCTCTACCCTTCAGAAATCCATCAGAGATCAGCATGATGACAACAAAATTCAAGCAGAACAACATGCAGAACATCTGAAAAGAAAGTTCAAGAAGAATTCCACCTTCCACGAACATTACAAGACATTCTTTGCAGTTCACCTGGATTCAGGATATGCTCGGAAAGTGCCTGCAGAGAATCTCAAATGAAATGACAAAAGACTTTGGTATTTATTTTCAAAGTCTTTCAACACAAAGATGACATATTGCTATTTGAGGAATCTGACCATAAGAGTACAGGGCATGCCTTGCAGAATACAACCATACACACTGAAGATTGAGAATAGTCCTGGCAATCACATGGAGTAAGTTCTCTACAGCCTCTCTAAATCCTATCCATGTCACCAAATAAAACCAGCAAAATTACAGACATGGATATTCGAACAAATAAAGTTTCAAAAAAGGAGAGAAGAAACCAGCAAAGATTCAGAGCTCAAAGTACTTGAACTTCCATCTTCAGTTTGTAAACATGTAGCCTACATTTCTCCAGTCCACTGTGAAATAGTCACTTGTACAACTGTCACGAACATCCCACCTATCGATGGGATAACTACATAAGACTGAAAGGCATCACTGAATAAAGTCAGAATGGTAAACTCTTCATGAAGAAAGCTTGAAGGAATGAATTCTTCTCTGAAACCACATAAATTAGTCATCAGTACACAAGAGGAATGTTTACACCTGATACTGCTATACAATGTTGGTCCATACAATAACACATATATATTCACTGAAAACTTGACCCCATGAACACATAAATTAGCTTATTTCAAACAGTAGTGTGGGCTAGTGGTGGTCCGATTATTTGAAATAATCGAAGATTGGTCGCAGTGACTAAACGACCAAGCAATTGATCATGTTTTCTCATAATCGAACACAAACAATTCTGGAACACTTTTAGCATTAACAATATTTTTCACAAGGTTGGTTTTGTCAGTTACATTTCATAAGCACTAAAAGCTTGTTCCAAGTCATGATTGAATTTATCTTAAAGACATCAGGAAATATATGTTCCTAACATACTAGTCTTCCTTTCAAGATATGAAAATTGCCACACAAAAAAACAAAGACCTACATGTTTTTTTCTTTATGTTTTTGTGCATTAACAAAAATAACCAGGAAAAATTCAAAAATGATGCTAACCAATAAATTTCGACGATTGATCGGTTGTAATGAAGCAATCATCAATTATGAGATTTTAACCAATTCCCAACACTAGTGTGGGCGGTGGTGTAGCCTTGTGGTTAAAGCGTTCCCTCATCACGCCTAAGACCTGGGATCAATTCCCCACATGGGTACAATGTGTGAAGCCCGTTTCTGGTGCCCACCGCCGAGATATTGCTGAAAGCTTGCTAAAAGCAGTGTAAAAACTAAACTCACTCATTCACTCACTCACTCAAACAGTTGTGTGTAGGTAGACATAGATCAGTCCATTCAAACAATTGGGTGTGTACACAGGCTCATGGATCAGTCCATTCAAACAATTGGGTGTGTACACAGGCTCATGGATCAGTCCATTCAAACAATTGGGTGTGTACACAGGCTCATGGATCAGTCCATTCAAACAATTGGGTGTGTACACAGATTCATACACATTCAAACTCATGGATCATTAGTGTACACACAAGTCCATTCAAAAATCCATTCAAACAATGGATCAGTCCACACAGATTCATGGTGTACACAGGCTCATGGATCAGTCCATTCAAACAGTAGTGTGTGTAGCTAGACATAGATCAGTCCATTCAAACAATTGGGTGTGAACACAGACTCATGGATCAGTCCATTCAAACAGTAGTGTGTATAGGTAGACACATGGATCAGTCCACTCAAACAATTGGTTGTGTACACAGGCTTATGGATCAGTCCATTCAAACAGTAGTGTGTGTAGGTAGACACATGGATCAGTCCATTCAAACAATTGGGTGTGTATACAGACTCATGGATCAGTCCATTCAAACAGGTCTATCACAATACAGCAAAGAGGAGTAATAAAAAGAGGTGTACAACAAAAGCTCATCTTGTCATGAGCATATAGACTCAAAAACTATTGGCAGATCAGGTCCACCTGTAAGTCATATATATTCTGCAGCAAACAGACTAGATATTTAAACCTTGTTCCCTTGTGCTGCCTACTCGTTACCATGTTACCAGATGCAGTCAGCACCATACCATATTGGTCCAGGAAATATTCACTTCATTCAACAGTATTCTACCTTGTTCCAGTCACTCGGTTCAAACATTAGACAGTTAGCAGCACAACTGTTCAGCTGGTCTCAGTCATGATGAGGCCTTTAGTTTCTTCATTTCCTCTTCTTTCCCAGCGTAGTTTCTGAACACACACACAAAATAAGATTTGTGACCATGTACATTAAACATAAAAAATTATACCATACAGTAAATTACATCATGCAATAAATTATAAATAAAATACAAGTAATAAAATACAATAATACAGTAAAGTGTATGTACACTAAACAGTAAAGTACAGAATTCTGTGATACACTGAGTGAGTGAGTGAGTTTAGTTTTACGCCGCTTTTAGCAATATTCCAGCAATATCACGGCGGGGAACACCAGAAATGGGCTTCACACAGTGTACCCAGGTCTTCGGCGTGACAAGCGAACGCTTTGACCACTAGGCTACCCCACCGCCCCCTGTGATACACTGAACAGTAAAGTATATAATACTGTACATTTGACCAGTTCAAATAAGTTCATAAGCAACTATACTGGACTACATATGCAGCAAGCAACTTCTAACAATTTCTTCATTTAAGCCAGGGCTCACTTGCACAAAGCGATCTTAGCGCTACAATGATTGTAACTCCCATTCTCCAACATAGGCTTAAGATAGTCGTAGCGCTAAGATCGCTTTGTGCAAGTGGGCCCAGGTCTTGTCCTACATGTGATGTGGAGCAAGATCTAAGCAGGCAGGGTGCAATAAGAGGTGAACTGACTTGATGTCAATTTCTGATGCAGACATACTAATCTTTAATGGTACAACCACTACACAACCAGGCAAGTCACAGCAGAGCAGATGATATGTGTAATGGTGTTGATCAACACACAAACGAGGAAGAGACAGCATGTTACTTTTCAGAAGCTGCTAGAGATGTACGAGAAGTGCTAGCAACTGTACCTGTAGTCCCACTCACTGATGCCCCAACCCTCCACACCATTCAGTCGGAAGTTACACAGACGCTCGAAGATTTTAGCATCCCACTCTTCCCCCATGTAGAACACTGGACACTGAACCACATCAATGGACAGCTCATACTTCTTGCCACCTGCAATAGTAAGGAAAATTGTCCAGCTTCCAAAACTCAGCAACAGCCTTTTTCTTTACACATGAAGCAGGATTCATGATAATACATGCCCCTGGTGATTAGATAACTGGCAGAGGGGTGTGCTTACTAAACCATAAACAACTGGTCAAATTCGTTTTACTGGTAGTGAATAAACTCACTTCAAACCTCACTTGAAGCCAAAACTTTTTCAATAATAGGCTATACATTTTTGCGCATAATATTCATGATATATAAATGATGATATTTGTGTCGATGAGAAAACTCCTAAAAATGTCCACTGCATTTTTAGTAAATTCACTAGAGTGAGTACTGCTTTTGCAATATCACAGCAGGGGACACTAGAAATGACGCTTTACACATTGTACCCATGAGGGGAAGTGAAAGACAAGCAAACATCTTAACCACTAGGCTACCACAGACCCAGTAAAGCTGTGCATATCAATTAAACTATCATTGACAACAACAGATGCAAATTGAAGTTTACAATACAAAATGCATGCCTAATATTGTCTATCCAAAAAGAAGCATTGCACCATTATTCATTTGCACCATTACTCTTCAGAGACTGACACCAATGACACACACACATAAATATCACATCTTGATAGAGATACCTGCTGTGAAGCCCAGAGTCATCTGTTTAGGGGATTCTGATCTTCTCCATGGTTGAAGAATTCAAAGTCTGTGTGAGACACGGGGACTAGAGTGCCATCCTTCAGAAACATGTAGCCGACAGTAAGTCTGTAAATAAACACTCCATCTCAAACCAAGGCAGTTGTATTCTCTGGATTGGTTGCTAATGTTTGGTTGTTTGGCATGTTTAATGCCTCACTAAGTAATAGCCCAGCTATATTTCTACTGTCTGTAAATAACTGACTCTGGACCAAACAATCCAAACCAGGACTGAAATCATGTTTGTTTGATCAGCATTCTAGAAGTTGGTAAGTCAGTAATGAAGCATACAACTTAATAGATAACAACTTCTTGTCTATTGCATAGAGCGATTCTTACCTCTTCAGCTTGATAACAGTGTAAGATTCTGCACTGAAACATCGCTCAACACAAAAAACAAGAAGTGGTTATCCATAAAGTCATATGCTTCATCACAGAAATCATGTTGCTGTGTTTGTGTTTTTGTTTGTTGTTTAATGATGCACACAGCAATATTCCTGTCATATGATGAAAGTCTGTGAATAATCAAGTTTGGAAAGGACTAAATAATGAATAAAATCATAGGCATTGATCTTTTAGCAACAAAATGACACACATCAACCAAGTCAGCAACCCTGGTCCATTTTGTCGCCTCTTACTATACCAGCTTAAGCATAATGAGTTGCTGAAGACCAATTTTAACCCAAATTTTCATAGGGCAGTAAGCGTGGAGAGTGAGTTTGGTTTTACATTGTTTTTAAATTTTGCTGGAGCTTAGGCCAGTAATTGAGTTTGATTTGATGCCATTTGAAAAGTGTCTCTCAACACTATTCTCAATACAACAGACACAACTTCTCACATAATACCACAACAAAGTAAGGGACAATAACCTTGATATACACATTTGATACATCTCAGTGAACCATTCTGAACTTTACACATTTTACCCATGCTAATCAGTGGTCAAAATTCCAGTCGACGAGATCAACCACCATATCTTTACTCATGCAACCTGTTATCTTTACAAAGTGGCCTTACAACACATTACAAACACAAGGATACATACATTGCGACCCATCTCCCCACACTAACTCTGTCCATAACCAGCAAGAAATCAGTGAATACAGACTTTGTATAGCTATCAGTATGTCACCATGACACAGTTGTGATCGACTAGGAGTTTGACAGTAGGGACTTTGTTTATTACTGAATGACTGACTGAGTTTGGTTTTACGCCACTTTTAGCAATATTCCAGCAACATCACGGCGGGGGACACCAGAAATGGGCTTCACACATTGTACACATGTGGGGATTCGAACCCGGGTCTTCAGCGTGACGAGCCAACGCTTTAACCATTAGGCTACCCCACCGCCCCTTGTTATTTACTACGTATAGCATTGATCACATAATAGTGAGGAAGACCACAGATACAGATACAAACACTCCACACACAGGTGTTGTGAGGGGAAATACCTGACCAAACACATGGGCCCAGAGAGGCAGGTCATAATTCATAGTCACACAAAGACTGGTTCACTCACTCATTCACCCACTCACTCACAGTCAGATACACACTCACTCGTCACTCCCACAAAGGTGCTGTGAGAGGAAATACCTGGCCAAACACAAAGCTGGCACAGCATAGAGGCCAGTTCTTAACTTCACTCAAACACAAATGCCACTTCACTCATTCACTCACTCGTCACTCCCACACCGGTGCTGTGGAAGGACATACCTGACCAAACACATGGGCCTAGAGATGGCTACAACATAGAAGCCAGTTCACTCACTCATTCAATGTCTCACTCGTCACTCCCACACCGGTGCTGTGGAAGGACATACCTGACCAAACACATGGGCCTAGAGATGGCAACAACATAGAAGCCAGTTCACTCACTCATTCACTGTCTCACTCGTCACTCCCACACCGGTGCTGTGGAAAGACATACCTGGACATACACATGGGCATACAGATGGCACCAACACAGAGGCAGGTGCCGTCACTGAAGTAGCCATACTGCAGACCATATCGATGGAAGTACTTCCAATCTCGAATATTGCCTGAAAGTAAATATATACAATGTAGGTACGAAGGCTCACAGTAATAGGATGATAGTATGACTTAACAATTAGGCAAGACAAGTGATATGGTTCTATTATACTTTTTTACACCAAGGCGTCTTTTATCTCCTTGGAAACACTATATGTTCAATATTTCCTAACAGCATATGTACAGCTTCAAATCAACATCACAATTGACAAATCTACCTCAAACACCTATTACACACATCATGTATATATATTACCAATATCTATTCTCAGAGCATCATGGTGGGCCACAATTAGCTGCGTAGGGTTCAGTCTCTTTGGCATGCACGAATCTATGATCATGGGTTCAAATCGCCGATCGTTCCTGAAGATGTATCTAGGTTTGGCAGCACCTTTTACAGCCGGTGACTGCTCATGGGTGTAACCAAAATGGGGAACATCTAACACCTACATCACATGAGTGTTTTTCAATCTCATCATGCTGACAAGGCACAACGTACCTGAAATACTGTTTCAAGAAGCTGTAAACAAACCCTGATATCCTTAAGAAGACATTTGCAATTTGAATCTCACCATAAGAGTGATCCCGGACTCCCCTGACCAAGAGTGTCTTCGGCTCCAATCCCTCGATACACACATCACCCACAAGCTCCCCAAATTGCTCATAGTGGGTCTGATGCACTCTGTGACAATGTACAATGTGAGATCGTATTGGCACAATACATCATCATCATCGTAGGGAGCATCTCAAAGCAAAATACAATTATTTCCTTAGTCAGTAGATTTCAGTTGACCATAAATCATTTGTAATCCTCAGCTCCTTTGGGATCATACACCTAAATTTCCTTATATGGCACAAGAAGGTTCTACATTCACATCCATACTCTACATTATAATAACACATCAAATCCACACCCTAACACAATTGTTACCATGGTTACTGAACCATTGTGTACTCAGCTTTCATTCCCAGCTCACCAAGTATCATACACCACAAGCTGCCTAAAAGGCACTAGATGGTAACAGCCACAATACCATCTCATCCAGCCAGGTACCCAATGACACCTGAGTTGAACCCGTGAAGATCTGGGTTAGAAATTGACTTTAGCAACCAATGCTTGTCATAAGGGGTGACTAATGGGATCAGCTGGTCAGGCTCACAAACTGGTCCAAATTGCACACAAACAAATGATACAGATGCATGTTACATTTGTCATATGATCAAAGTGACTTACGTTTTCAAATTTTCAAAGTATCCCCTTGACCACTTCTCCCTGGCAATGGCGTCTGCTGTTGTTGAAGGGTCAAGGTCAGTGTCAAAATCAAAGAAGTTTGTAATGGCTGTCCATTTCAGGTCAAAGCTAACAGTCTTTTCTTCCCCTGTCTCAGAAAGTCTGCAATTCAAATTAACAATATTTCATTACAATGCTTATTATAGATAATTTGCTTCACAATATATGTCATAATCCTGAGGACTTGTAAAGCTGAAAGGTTAAAGCAAGAGCTGTCCTCCTTTATCCGAATCATGTTTATGATAGCATATATATGATCATAGATGGCTCAACCCAAAATTCAGTCTATATCAGTCTAGTAGTCTGCTAACAACTGGGACAGAGGCTTGGAAAGCATGTTAATCATGGTAATATCCTGATAGACCAGAATGTGAAATTTGTAATGTGAGTGAGTGAGTTTAGTTTTACGCCAGCTTTTAGCAATATTCCAGCAATATCACAGTGGGGACACCAGAAATGGGCTTCAAACATTGTGCTCATGTGGGGAATCAAACCCAGATTTTGAGCATGATGAGCAAACGCTTTAACCACTAGGCTACCCCAACGCCCCATTTTGTGATGTGACAGTGTTCGTGTTAACACAAAAACCTGCGTTTCACACAAAATTTAAGCATGATATGTTCTACCTGCGTGTTGTGCACGCAAAGCAGTTTGTGTGCTGGGCACAAGTAACTGAAAAAGGTATTTTGCCCAAGGAAACAACAAAATATAATAAGGTTTCTCTCAGCAAATTTGACTTGCAAATGATGACAGCATGCTCTAAAATGCAAGGAAATGATGTCTCAAATTCATAATCTTACGAGGCCCCCCTGAGAGACCTCGCCGCTTTCTGGCTCGGGCATATACCTGCGGTGCATGCACATGCAAGATTCTTGGGACAATGTGTTTTAAGAACGCAAAGCTTTTTTTCCTACCGCAAAGACTGTGTGAGACATGTATACACAGTATCTGCCATGAAACAAGATCTGATTAATCAATTCACATGGCAAAATTAAACTGAAAATAATTTCAGTATGAGTGTATCTCTCCATGGTAACCACTAGCTACACACTAGCTACATTGCTACCCCTTGCCGTTCACCTGAGTTTCCCCTGGAAGGCAACTCTCCATGTTTTCATGGGCTCCAGAACTTCCATGATGAGACCACCAGCCGAGTAGCTCTCCCCTTGGCCAGTAAGGCAGGTGTCTGGCATCGAAGGCATCATCAACAGTCCCACCCCAGGAACCTGCAGCAACCAATAATTTACAAAAGGCTGATGTCAGGAATAGGCTGCATTCTTGAAACACACACCTGCAGCAACCAATATTACATAGCGATGTGTGCCTGTGTGCTAGTGCACGTGGGTGAGTCTGCTTACACTGGTCAATACTACAGCTCAATTAAAGAGCAAGTCCACTGAGACAATATGCTGCAATTTAGCCTTTCTCAGTCACAGTATACTGACCCCAAGCTGGCACAACTGTGTTTTATCTAATCAATCCAAAGCACCAGGCAACTAAACAAGACGTACCATTTTCATTTTAAATCTTTAGTTATGATGGTGCAAGGTTAAACTCCCTCTCTAGAGGCAGATGTTCTAACCACTAGGCAATAGAGCATGTCATCTTGCCCTTTGACACGAATCTTCATCCAAACGATCACTTGTTTGTCCATTACTAACAAACCATTATAATGTAGCTGGAACATCGTCTACAGCAGTTTTAACATTCACTCAATCACCATACGACCATATCAACATTATTAGATATTTACTGCTACACTGCTGAACAGTGTTGCACATATTTACATTACACCTGGATTATGTGTATACTACTAGACTCTCTCCATATATTCCATATGTGATATTCACCAGTTTCAACTGTTTATCATGTTTATACAGACTGGATGTGTTGTGTAAAGTGCTACAATGATGTACACCATGTCCAACATACTGTGATATTGTCTTGTAACAATAAATACTGCTTACCCGAAGTAAAACAATAGTCTGAACAAGATTCTTGTGTCGTCTTGCTGTCGCTGTGACTATAAAGTGCCCTTCTTTGTTTCCACCATTGAAATAGACAGCATCCACAGCCTGCAAATATTACATGTCTATCAACATAATGTTGTCCTGACCATGAACAATCAAATATAATGCAAAGTCAATTCAAGGACAGATAAGGAAATACAAATAGGTCAGTGTTATACTGGAACTGCTGAAAGTATCTTTATAAATGATTTTAGATATTCTGCATGATACAAATACAAAAGTACACAATTCAGTTGTATATCACACATAAAGATTGCGAGATGTTTTTGGGAATGTACTAATGTTAGAAAAAATGTTACCACCTGAAATGGATAGCATTTGATATTACAGATGTAAAGGACAGTTGTACTCAATGCAACTTAGTTTTAGATAGATGTGAAAGGACAGAATGCTTCATTATTCATTGCAACAGAAATTAGTTTCATTGAACCTGGCTTCAACTGGCCAAGTATATGAACATGTATTAAATGGATATTGACATTACATGTACCTTTTTATCCTTTCATTGCTATCAGAAATATAATGAAGTTGGTGGCACTGACAACCAGCCCAGTCACAATGACCATAATGTTATTGACCATTTGCGCCAAATAAGACCATAAACCTATTTCAACAAGATCTAAATGATGCTGCAATTACTGACATGCTGGCTAATGATATAACTAGTAACAAATTATATTGTCAGGATTATCTATCAACACCCCTTTAGTGTATTAACTTATCTTTCATTGTTTACGTGCAAATTGCAAAAAGTACTCAGGGGTTCTAAAATCCCATCGCTGGACGCCCAGGACAAGTCAGTTTAAATTTCGGGCGATCAAATAATGGTATCGTACTAGTCCGTGGGCTACTAGATAATTTCTGCTTACGGTTTCAAACTGCAAATAAAAATGGATTTCATTTTATTTCATATCTGCTCAAAATGTAGATGTTAAAATTTGACACGATACGAGAACGAAATGAAGTAATCTTCGCAATGATAATAAACAAGAGTTATCTCTCTTTGCTATTTATCACACCTCAATAAATAGTCCAGTAAACATTAACATCAAATACCATGTTGATTTATTCTTTCATAATTACATCATCATGATTATGTCATAAAAATCAGGACAAGTTACTTTCTAAAAGTCACTTGCCCTGTGACAAGTAGCTTTACAAAAAAAAATTGAACCCCTGGTTGTGAATGTGAAGTACCTTTATTAAAATGTGTCCCCAGAACACAATCATTATTATTTGTAACAGGCAACTAAATCTGGATGATTCAGGGTTAGAAAAGGTCCATCACAACCTGTACTAGTCGAGGTGGGTCCATGGATCAGGTGGTCAGACTCAGTAACTTGGTTGATCGCATGTCAACATAACCTGACAGGGTTTTCTCATAATATCAACCCCTTGTTCAGTAACTGGAGCGTCTGGTCAAGTTCACTATCATATATATTGATGGATTATTACCAAGTGCATCTTCAGCAAACAATGTAATTCAAACTGATTTCAATTCATGACAACTTTTATAAAGAAGTTCTTAATTATAACTTCTTATTACTTTCGTGGTTGTTACAGTACCGATCACCATGATCACTGGTAGTAAAACCTTTATTCGAATGAATTCCCTGAATGTAATAATAACACCTCCGCCACTTCGTTTACCTTTGGGGCGGTGGGGTAGCCTAATGGTTAAGGCGTTGGCTCGTCACGCCGAAGACCCGGGTTCGAATCCCCACATGGGTACAATGTGTGAAGCCCATTTCTGGTGTCCCCCGCCGTGATGTTGCTGGAATATTGCTAAAAGCGGCGTAAAACCAAACTCAGTCAGTCAGTCAGTCGTTTACCTTTGGGTGTTCAGGAGGCAGTATCTGGACTTTGTCCATGTCCTCTGGTGAACTTCTCGATCGCATGCCATACCCAGCATCCTCGCCACTTGTATTTTTACGGTTTTTATTTTGTCGCTTTCTCATCCAGAGAAGAACCCGAAAAAACAAATATTTGAGAGGGTACCATTTGTTGGGTTGAACGTAAATGCCGCATTTCAGTGGTGGCTCTGGTGTCAAGATCCATCTGATGCAGTAAATAACAACAACACCAGCAATAACGAGAGTAATCATGTTGACAGTCGGGTGAATCCGTTCTGGTCGAAGTTCATGTGGAGATGTTTCTTGATAAGCGTTTGTCAAGGGCGGGTAACTCTAACCTACGTACTAATAGCAACAACTTGTCAACAGTCAACATTGAGCTCTAACCATTGGAGGTTCAATCCTATATAATCTCGAATATTTCTTGATTTCACTCCGTCCCTGTTCGAGCACCAATTTGTCGCAGGTTCGGGTCTCTTATTGTCCGAAACAAATATGATGAGACGGAGTTGTTTTCAAAAGGCTGCAATTAGAAAAGTCAACATCATGAAATGTTGATATCTGTCTGCCGTCGTCCGAGGCTGACAGGTGACAGTAGAAGGTCAATTCAAATTGTCCTGACGTCACAGGCAAAAGCCCGTGAATTACCTGTGCGTCAGGTACAGGTAGCACGTACAACTTATTATTCGATAGTTGAGCGGCAGCCGCAGGAGAGAAGAAAGGAGAAATGTACAGCTCCCGGCGACATATCAATTGGGGTTTTTTTCTGCCCGTTTTTGGAAAGACCAGTAGCTTGGTATATCTTATTTATATATATGAGAGTATATATTTTATAATCGGCGAAGATATGTTTTCATTGAAACTTTTGGATTATCTGGAGATGAAATTAATAATCAACAGAAGAGTTTCAAATTTTAAAATTGATACGACCAGCCAAACGACTAAAAACTAGAATACTGACAAAGAAATATACATAGAGAAGGACGAGGAAATATGGAGTACTTGTGAACATCCAAAGGTATGGGGCGCGGTGGGCGAGCTGGCTAAGGCGATCCAGCGAGGTTGAGGTGTCGGGATCGAGCCCACCTGTGACCGGATGTAAAAACCTTGGAGTCAATTTTGTGTGCAGACTCTTTCACAACCCTAGTGTACAGTACACAACCCTGTGCACTTAAAAGAACCCACGAATCCGTTGGTATATGACCAGATGGTGGCCACATGAATACGTGCAAACAGCTGGTTGCGGGTACAGCAACGTGCAGTGAACTTGGACAAAGTACTGTGACTATGTGTCCCAGTTCACCCAGCTGTGAATGGGTACTTCGTTAGTATGAGAAAGCCACAATAACTCGGTGCGCCTAGTGGCTGCAAGAGTTGTATACTCCCCAGGGAGTTGAGACTGATAACACGATGTGCCGGTAAGACTGACATCCAATGATCGAGGGAAAAAATACCAGCGCCTTGAGCAAGCACTAGTTGCCTGGATATGTGCGCTATATAAATATCGTATTATAATAATAATAATATAAAGCTTGTATTCCTTCATCTTCGGTTACCAACATCTGGAAATCACCACTTTACACACAGACTTGCAAGAGAAGCTCCAATAAAATCTAGGATTTTGCGCCTTCATCTCGCGGATTCAAAATTGTTTGCGTCATTTTCCAATACGTGAAGAACCAAATTTTAAAGCTGAATTCTATTTTTTCTTACCTATATTTTTAGAAAATAATGACTGTGTGTGAGCGAGTGGGGAGTTTATGCCATCATTTCTTTTATATGCAGTTCAGCAATATTCCCGCAATATTAATGCGGGGAACACCACACATGAGCTTCAAACATTGTACCAAACGGGGGAATGAAAATTGTGTCGAGGGAATGCATTAACCTACCTTCAAGTCGGCAGGCTTTAATCAAGTTTGGAACGGATACATCAGTGATTGATTTCACCGAGGATAAAGCAACGATTTCACATTGACACCGGCGGATCGACGGTAGGACATAAACCCACCGGACCAAATCCCATAGGACAAAATGTCTGCACACTGCGGACAAAATCCCAACAGTGTGAAAAATGACATACAATTTATTTTGAAATAGATATTTTTATTTTTATTCATAAATAAGCAGTATTGATCATAAGCACTAATAACATGATTGAACGCAATCTCACAACACAATGCATCATCCTGGTATATTTTCATGGTACATGTAATCATCTAAAGCATCATTCTAGAACATCCTCATCTTTGTACATCTTAATTGATGCACATAAGCACAACATGATTCAACGCAATCTCATAACATCCCATAGCGACGTGAGCTTCTTCTTTCAGTTGCATTCTCAATTTCATGACTTCTACTTGTGACTTGTCTGCTGGATGACTATGAGAAGTAGCGATGTCTTCATGGACCCACGACATTCTAATGCAATTTGTCTTGAACATTCCCACCAAATACTACTCTTATTTGTAACCTTCTTAGTGTACAAAAATCCATCTAATGCTATTTAACTCATCCCGTATTGCTCTTCAGTACTTCCATTTTGGAACACTGATAAAAACTGACAGTGTCATCATCACACACACATTTACATGTATACAATTTATCAATGCAGCCAATGGCCTCTGTTACGAAAACAAGCTAATCGACTTATCTCTATGGACTCTGTCATGAAAACATGCTAATAAAAACATGCTAATGAACTTATGTCACTGGCTTTTGTCATGAAAACATGCTAATTAAAACTGATGAATAAGTGTAGAAATAACATATAAAAATGGGAGTTTGTCCTATGTTGGTCATGTTGGTGTGGGATTTTGTCCAAAGAAATTTTGTTCGGTTGGGATTTTGTCCGTCCCCCGGCGGATCCCATCTCTTAAGAACTTTGGGACAACTGCCTATATATGTGTAAAGTATACATCACTTATACATCACATTTCACATCATGCACTATCCTAGTGTAACAGATGTTACCGAGAAACCGATCAGGTGTAAATAATCGCACAGGCTTCATGCTGACGCAAAGGGACTGGAAACATAATTAGAAGAAATAGTAGAAATATAATTACAAAGTTGGGTGGAGCATTTACTAATGCAAACAAACTGACACGATTGTTGGCGCAGTTTTACATGAGAAACGGGTGTTGTTTGCATGAATTACACATTTTTGTCTTCGTCCAATAAACCTCATTTTTAATGCAACGAGAATGTATCCTGAATTTTATATTCTCATGTGTTCAGTATTTGCATGTAAGCTTTTCATTCCCTGTAAATATATATGTTCACGGTCCTGATTCAGTGCAGCCTGGTGAAACAATTACTCACACAGTACAATCAATGCATTTTTGTGGTCTCATATCCAAACAAACGTACACGTCTACTTATGTTTGGAAAGAGTCGCCATGGATTATTCAGTGGCTAGACACACGATTATTAGGTAATACGTTTCTGTTGGTATAGCCTGTGCAAGTGACATGAGGTTGCACGACTGACAGTGATTAATGTGTACTTAATGACGTTAGGTATGCTTAAAATTTCGTATTAATGTGAGCCTAAGTTTGTTGTTTTACTATGTATACACAATGGGAGGAAACCTATATCCTCTAAATCCGGAAGCCCCCTTTACTGCAGGACACACCCGTCGATATCTCCTTACCCCGGAAACCCCGGAAACCAGCTGGTTTGTCCAAGTTGTTGTGTTCTTTTCAGTGACTGAATTACCTTAACTTACATCGGAACAACAATATTCTTCTGAGGCTGCAGTTGAATATCTGGTATCAGAAGAGGAATATTTCAATAATTACACGTCTTTTACATTCCCATACCCGAACAGGATATAAAACTACTTGTGACTCAGCATTAACGTGGTGTTATGGTTATATCAATTGAAGACGTAAAACAATTACAGGGATGGCGACAGCTTGTACGTAATATTTAATACTATATGTAACACACCCATCCATGAAGGAGATAGGAGGTAAGCGATATCCCTGTCTAGTCCATGTTTTGGTTAATTGGGTCAAAGCCGCGGGCGACTGTATTAACCTAAAAGTGCTCTCAGGGCTCTGCTAACACATGTTAATTGAACAATTAACGTTAATAACCCGGATGGGGATGAAACACGATGTGCTGGGGCACACGACATGAAATGTAAACGACGTAAAAGCAGGTAAACATGTTAATGGTATCAGGGTATTTCCCCGTAACACAGCGCGACATACACACTTCAGGGAATTGCTTCATGGCTGACGAAGTGTGTCTTTCTGTATATATTCGATAAGAGTGTTGACTCCATGAGCACATGCTATCTTTTGATTTTTAGATGTGAACTTTATTGACACAGAAAAGTATGTTTGATGTTGGCTAATACTGAAACAAACCCGAAATGGTTTCCCTATAGTGATGTATTTGATACGGGTATCAGGATGTGTCTTGGACCTTATGTTTATAGTGTTTTCAGCTTTGGACCTATGTTTTCATTGTTTCGGACACTGTTTCAGCCTATAAACGTTTGTAATCGTTTGGTCAAATCCAATTTTCAAGCTTATAGTTTCCCGGCTGTTCATATCATTATATGCAAATTGGATGATTGATTGATTGATTGGTTTGATTCGATTGGTTTCATTGGTTCGATTGGTTTGATTCATTGGATTGATTCATTCATTGGTTTGATTCATTGGTTTGATTGATTGATTGATTGATTGATTATTGATTCCATTGATTGATTGATTGTTCGGCGTTCAATTCGTTGTAAATTCATTCATTCATTCATTGTTTGGTGGTTGGTTGTTTGTTGATTGGTTGATTGGTTGTTTGGTTGATTGATTGCTTGATTGATTGATTGAAATATGACACATCATTCCGCACTTAGCAGTATTCCAGCTAGCGGTCTGTAAATAAGGGACCATACAATGACATGTGACAGAACCAAGTCAGCGAGCCTGACGACCCGATCCCGATTAGAAATGATTTTAGATATTCTGCATGATACAAATACAAAAGAGGTGTGTTGTTGTGAGTGTGTGTGTGTGTGTGTGTGTGTGTGTGAGAGAGAGAGAGAGAGAGAGAGAGAGAGAGAGAGAACATCCATCATCATCCATCATTGTAATAGTAATTACTTATCTTCAACCATTATTGAGTTAAGAAGGTAAACACATGTTAACAATATTTACCATGTGTCACCTAATGAGTGTTATCGTGATCATATCTGGTTTCAAGTAAATTCATATTTTTAGACAAATGAAAAGGATTTTAGGTTTTATCGATCATCCACTCTGCCATACTACATGTACGTGTTAAAAGCCTTTGCAGACGTCCCCTTTGAAATTATAGCCACCACTCCCATCAACTACCCCTAACTAAAAAATAAGTTACCCTCAGGCATTACACATTTT